AACCTATGGAGTTTCTTGCTCGTTCTTCTCCATAGGAGTCTACACCTTGGAATGAGCAAATAGCTTCACTTTTAATTTTTCTGTTGCCGTTCAAAAGTGAAATGAATGATTTTGCCTAAAACAATTACGGCCTTAACGAAGGGACTCGTCAATGAGTCGGATGGCCGACTGTTACAGTCACATATTTTATCGCTCACTATATTTATATTTGTGACTAACAATATTGTCTAAGTATTTCAAACACTATAATGCCTGTTAGTAATATTGTGAATTGATTTAGTTTTCGAACGTGGCAACACTATCCTTGTCGGGCATTCGCGCGGTTTTGTTTTTGACAGCAACAGATTAATTTTTGTAAAACAATATAAACAAGTGAATACAAATTATTTTTGAAGAAGTCTGAGTTTTAATTAAGATCACCATCCTTCTGAGCGTTTTACTAGAAACCATTGACAAATGGTAAAGAAAAACATCGTGAGGAAACCTGGGCTTATAATTTCTAATTATAAGTTTGTAATCGCCAACCCGAATTGAGCAAGCGTGGTGATTAATGCTCTAACCGTCTCCGTGTGAGAAAAGGCTTTGCTCAGCAGTGGGCATTTATAGGCTGTTGATGATGTATCTTTTCGGAGTAGGGAAGTAGTCCGGTAGGAAACGCAGAATTATAATGCTACAACTCTTATAAACACTATTTATTAGACTAAACAAGAAGATATGCAAAGTTCTTTGGCGCCGACAATGCCGACATTGTGGTTTTTTAAACCGGATATGTGTGCAATTTCCCTTCGGTACGCAATGGCGCGCTGTCGCCATTGTACAGAAGCGGAGACTTCGCACTTCCGGCTTCCGGCGGTGACTAATACACAAATACGGAGCCCATGGTACCCAAGTAATGGAGTAGTGAACTTTTGTATACAAATTTACATAAGGTAATAGATTTCATACAAATCAGCCAAAGTTTGTAGCGAAAATATGGTCAGTTTTTCTCTCCAAATACTGAAAATATCCACCAACACAAACGAGACCAAAATATATCCTGCCTCCGTAAAAATCTCGTTTAGTTTTTACACGAGTTTTGTTTACGAACCTCTTCACTTTCCAAACTTTGGGTTTTTACGCCCCAATAATCAGAAGTAACTAATTTTTAACTACCGTTACTTGGTCTCATACTGTCCCCATTACTTTCCGAGGTTTCGAATTAATTCAAGTGATTTAATATGCAGGCTTTATTTTCAACCTGCATACAGCAAGCGTGGTGATTAATACACAAACCTTCTACATGTGAAAAGAGGCCCTTGGTCAGCAGTGGCCACTTATAGGCTGTTGATGTTTAAGTATCAGAGAGCCAGAGAGCCATGCTTCGGACGAATGGGCCGACTCGACCGCAGTAGCACGGCCTCACAGAAAACCGACGTGACACAACGCTTGCGTTGTGTCACGTCGTATGAGTGAGGTTACCGGAGGTCCAATTACCCTCCTCGGCCGGTAACGCACTTGTAACGTCCCTGGTGTTCCTGGTATCGATAGGCGACGCCGATTGCTTACCATCAGGTAATCCGTCTGCTCGTTTACCGGCTAATACCATAAAAAATATTTGTTGTTGATTGGTGTTTATTTTCAACAAAACCTCTAAGTGTAGCTATACAATTTAATAAGTACAGATGATGTGTTTCGTACAGGTCTACATTGAGCAGTATTAACATTTCTGATATGATAATATTATGATAGTGATAAAGCGGCTAGATTCACAGCGAAAAGTGCAGTGCGCCAGTTTGCATGGCAAGCAATTTTACGCAGGATTGATTAAAATGTTATCTACTTATTTTCTTGTCCAAGTAATTCTTTTTTAAACAGTAAATACTAAATACTCTCTATTTGAAGACTGTTAACGGGAAATAAATAATTTAATATGTCATCTACTAAACTTCCAGTTTCAACGGAGCTAAAACATAAATCGGTTCTGTTCTGACTAATCGTGTCATTGCGCACACTCTTGCGCAGTACATCGCCTGCGCAGATCTCTATAATCTCATTGAGATTAGCCGCCATGATAAAACGCGTATACACTATGAAACGTAGAAAGCATTTCAAAACATTACTTCTTAGTATGCTTCGGTACTCTTTACGATTACGGACTATTAAGTATATTGGCCCTAGGTTCAATTTCTGTCATTAAGTAAAATAATACCGGCTTTCACAAGTTACAATCGGTGTACAAATATAAAATAGAACTTAAGATAATCAAGTGAACATAATAATTAGCAAAGATAACGATGTTTTGTAGGTAAATATACAAATACTTGGCGACAGTTGTGACTCATATCAGTTGATATGAGTCTGTATGTATGTAGTTACATACACTATGTCGTTATCAAAGCAATCAACCTTATGTTTTTATTTTTGTTGCTCGCGTGTATCAGCTTCTGTTGTTGATCAGAAATGCTTTGTAATCGCCTACGAATTGTACTTAATTGTACATAGTTCAGTTCGCAAAATTTGTATTCCCACGTGTAAAATGGCTAGTTCTAGTGGCTCGCCCACGCCGGGCAATATCGTAAAGAGATATCAAATACTCTATTATTACCTGCCTCGAGACTTATTTAAACTTATATATTCTCTATTATTTACAGCTGAAGAGTTTCTCTGTATTTGAACACGCTAATCTCAAGAACTAGTGGTCCGATTTGAAAAGTTCTTTATGTATTGGATAGTGCATTTATCGAGGAAGGCTATAGGCTATAAAACATCACTCTTTCTCGTATGGACAAGGTTTGAGAGCCTTAAGTAATCACCATACTTTCTCGATGCGGATTCGGGTTGCAGGTTGTTAATATACATAAAGTTTAAATAAATAAATACTTATATGAGAATGAGAAAATTCTGTACTTCAGCTAGTGTACATAGTTTGTTAGAATTTAAATAGCACACAGCAGTAAATCTAGTTTATAGTGCTATATATTCTGTTATCAGTAACACATAGAGATATAAGAGTATATAAACAGACACTACTGGGTTACATATCTGATAACATCATTTTGTTGTGGCTGTGCTTGAATGAGAGTAAATTATCTATAACTACCCTATGGTAGTTATAGATCATTTGTATGCCCAATACAAGATACAGAATTTTAAGGAAAGTCGGTATGATGAAATTTGGTATACAGGCAAGGAATGGGCTGACTTAGGTGATAGGATACTTTTTATCCCGATTAAATGCCTCTATAGGATAAACCAGGAATCATATTCTGTGCAGATGAAGTCGCAGGCAACAGCTAGTATAAAAGAAAAGACAACCACTTATAATACAAGCAGTTTTTACACTCACACTTTACATTAGTAAATAAGAGCTCAAATACAATGAATAAATAACACTTTAACATATTCATTGCCACATATATGTCATTGACTAACGCTTAGCAGAGGACTTGCCATTAACAGTTTTCTGTCTGCAGTCAAAGGCTCTTCTTTAAGAAGATAAATAAAAAAGTTGAAATTAGCCATACATTAAAAGTTATACATGAAAAAACAACAGTTACTCCTTTATAATGTATGCACACACAACTTAATACTGTTTTGTGATCTGTGTGGTATAACTGTTGTCTTCATAAAATGTATGTTAAGATGAATAAATTAATACTAATACACATCTTATGAGCATTTAGTAACGAAACTTTGTTTATAGCGGAATATGTATCTGGTAGAAATTGGGTTGTTTTTGTTTTTTAAAAACTTTGCCCCATTCTTTGATTTTCTCCTGTGTTTTGGGTGCGTTTAGAAACATACAATTTCACATACAAATCTGAAAAACTTATTTATTTATTTAGTCTTTAATATACACAGTTTGATTAAATAGTGGCACATAAGGCAAACTTAATGGCATAATTATAGCATTCTCAACCAGTCAACCTTAGGATTTAAGTACAAAATCTGCGATAAATAAGGTATGGAGAATAACAGCAAAAAGAAAAAAAAACAAGATAAGTAATATGAAAAATGTGTTTTGGGTGTTTTTAATGTAGTTAATTTTAATGTAATTATGGCTTTTAATACAGGATGTAGGAAAATGTTATAAGCAATTGTCGCTAATAACAATCTACCAACAATACACCAAATCTAATAAACACTTAAATAAACTTGATAGATCAAGTTTTCCTTCTTTTTGTTAACTATGAAAAATGCCTTATCATAGCTGGTTCAAGTGAATTCCATTCTCATGTATTTACACAAAAATATTTTACTTTTTACAGATATTCACACCCATTGAATGTATTTTTATAAGAATTTAATTAGACTCCAATTTGGTGTTGTTCTTAACCAGCGAACTGACACAGTGAATAAAAATTCTCATTAGACTTGAAAAATTAATAAATTAACTGGAGTTTCATACAATTTTGAAAAGGATCTTTAATCTTTACAGATTTTTTTCTGTTGAGATAATCACTCATAGCTTATAAAATATATTTTTTTAATAATAAATTATGGGATAATTAATACTAATAAAAACAATAATGAAGTGCATTGTAAACAGGAACTCTGTTATGTGCCATTGTTTACAATACTTGAGATGATAAACAGACAAACAGCATTCCAACATCTATGCATGCATACTACTGACTACACTGCTATTTAATTCTTCTTCATTTAGGTCAAAATCTTTTTTAAATTTTTTCGACAACTTTCATCTAAACGGCATACCCGAGGTACAGTTTGTGCTCCAAATGCAACTGAACCGTGAAAGTCATTGTCATTTAACATGACATCATTGCTTTTTTGCACTTTCAAATGCCATGAAAAACTTTACTGTTTTATCAATTTAGGACCGTACTCTACACGTTCATAATCTCTCATATCAAACCAACGAACATTATAAACAATATAATACATTAAATTATCAACACAATGCGTCAGAACCAGTGAAACATAATTATTTTATACAATACGTAAACTCCCCCAAAACATTGGGTAAAAATTGTACTTTCCTGAGCACTATATTCACTGACCTTTGATTGAATGGGCGAACCCTTACAGCCACTTTCACCGAAGCCATTGTCACACATTATATTGTCAATAGTTTCAATTTTATTTTAAAATTACATTTAACCACACAAATACGACACCACAAAGCGAGTTGACATTTTTACTTTGATTGACAACTTGCGAATGACGTTGCAATACGGAAAAATGTATGAAAAAAAGTGTTATTTTGTCAATTTGGGAAAAATTATGACTCAAGAAATTATTTATTTGAATAATAATCAGTGAATGCGAATTTATCAAAATAATAATGCTAAATACATGCTAAAAAGAGATCCAAAAGCCCGCGAAAATGGTAATGAGAATTAGAGGTACACCAACATTGAGAAATGTTTAGTCGAATTTATATTCAACATACTAATGAAAGCATCAACTTAACTTTATATGAAGGCAATGATGCAAAGATTCGTTAATCGGTTGTATTTTCTGTAAGCTATTGAAATAATACAGAGAAGGGAATTAAATGTAAGTTATTTATTCCTTTAATTGACGTTCAATTGATTAGACGAATCTCACTTTTAACAATAATATAATTGAATAGCATTATCAACGCACTACTCTACTCCTGTCAATTTTCTGTCGTTGTCGTCAGGAAAGGTTAGAAATTTTAAATCGATTTTTATGAAATAATTGGGTAAATAAGTTAGAATATTAGTTTTCTTCAGCATATGTATCCTCATTAATAGTTGAAATATTGAATTGTCGATAAAAAATGTCATTAATCATTATTTACTGTTGAAGGTAAGTTTGGGGTAACATTACATAATAATGTGTGTATGTTCTTCCGTCAGATAGTCAACCAGCACGATGTCGGACGCCCCAGGCCGCCCCATGAAGTTCCCCTACACTTTCAGCGCCAAACTGGCGCAGTTCCCCATGAAGTTCTACGTCCAGAACCAGTGGATCTGGAAATACTGGATGATCGGAATCGTTGTCTCCACCCCCGTCTTCTACAAGATCCACAAAATGGGTACGTTACCATTAATCGTATATAAAACTCGTCTTTTACTTATAAGATTGTCTTGTACAGTATTTTATATTTTATTCCGATTGTAATATAAGCCAATGATCATGGCTATAAAAACTGATAATTTGCCAGCATTTTAACAGTCAGATAAATAATCAATTGCCTTTCGTAAAGGATCACTACAAGAATGGCTCTAAACCTTTGATTTGATCTATATTCTGTACTGAAACAAAATTAATTAAAAATGGAGTTATAAGCATGAATTCAGCGAATTCTAATATAATTTTTGTTATAAGACCTTGAATTTCATTTCTAGGTCAAGTAAACAAACATAAGTAATATAATGTAGGAATCAGATTAACACTCATTGGACCCCTACCTGATTAAATTGGTTGGAGAACAAATACATGTGAAAATGTTTGATTACTAAGCCTAAATGGTGACTACTATCTCTATAGTAATAACTAAATTTGTATTTTGTAAAATGTAGTAGAAACTATTATAACCCGTTGAAAATCATCCCCTAAATTTGTTCATACAAAAATAGTCTTAAAACATTGGAAATAAGGTCTATAATGTAAAACAATTTTTTTTTTCTATACTGATGTTAGTGGAGAGCGTTCACCGGTGACTACTTGGGGATATATGGGTTAAAAAAAGAGATTGAAGTCTATAATAATGGGAACTTAGCATATTGATCCCTACCTTTTCTGCTTACTTCCTAATGAACTAGAAATGTAATATTTTCATACTAGGTAACATCATTTAGTATCTCAACAAAGAAGATCTCCTTTGGGACACCTTTTATATTGGTAATATTCTCTTTTCAGCCAACTCACCTGCAAACGTCAGCAAATGGGCTGAGATCAGGAGGAAGGAGGCTGCCGAGCACCACTAACTTAGCAAGATCAATAGTACTGGGTTATAAGAAACAACTTGTGTGATTTATTTATGTTGTAAGCGAATATTAAATCATGTAATAGTTATATTTTGTTTTATTGTGTGTGTGAGTGAATGTTGCTAGTTACACAAATTTTACATAATAACAACATCACGCCTTTTTATTCCCGAAGGGCAGAGGTGCACATTACGGCACTTAATGCCACTGTAATATGTAACACCCACTTTTCACTATTTATGTTACACGCCCCATGTAATAGGGGTGAGCCTATTGCCATATACCAGGCACAATTCCAGACTTCGTGCTACTACTGAGATTTTATTTTTAAAAACCCAGTATTACTTTGCCCTACCCGAGAATCGAAACCGAGACCCCCTTTTTTTTAGGGGGAAAAATCATCGAATGACTGGGTGAGGCGGGAGGGAGTGTCAGACTCTTACTGACTAAAAACCACCCTGTTCCTTCTGCACGTCGAGCCGGAGCCCCGGTTACTCGTTAGGTTCTCCGCGACAATGCTCGGCAATCACACTTGCGACCACGAGGTATTCAAGAAAAGGCTCTTAGTCCCTCCCACATTAAACGACAACTCGTCCCTCGCATCCATTGGCTCCCCGCGATTATGACGATGTCCAGTCCACCATAGCGGCCATGTAATGCAACACACTGGACATATTGTGTAAAAACCAAAAGGAGACATCAGTTGAAAAGTTAATTTACTTTAAAAATAAAGTACAAACCAGGGTAAATTGTATAGAAAATAAAATAAACACAACAACTGTACGTGGGTGCTTTATTCACTACCGTATAAATTAATATAAAACTTATAAATTACATAAATAAATAGTTGCTGACAAAATGATCATTATTATTGGAAAAACAAATCACTGTGAACAATCAGATATTATTATTATAGTTATCATGTAGGAATGCACTGGTACGATTTATTTATTTGCACAGTCAACCACTCGCCTATTGAGGCCAAGTTATTCTATTACAGAAATAATACTACACGCAAATTAAAAAAAATAGCAAAAATATAAAATGCAATGCAACTTGTGTGGCTGACTGTAGTTAAGACAAGGTTGCCATAAAACAAAATTACAATCATATTAGTGAATTCGAGTATTGATTAAAATTGACGACATAAATACAGAAACGCTTTAAAAATAGCAACCACTGCCAAGAAATAAAAAATACAATTATTTTTGGTTCCCTAATAATATCAAATTATAATTAAAAAAGCGGCTATGCCCTTGTAAAAAAACCAATGCTGTTTCAACTAAAAAAAAGAAAACAAATAAAATTTAGCAAAACAAAACACAACTTTGAGTTCGATTGATCGAAGTTACGAGATTAGAAAATAAAAATTACGTTCAAACATCTCGAGAGGACAGTGACAACATAATTTGGTCACATCAAACTTATGCACTAATAAATTTTTAAAACTAAAACTAATGTCTAGGGGTGTGTACACAATGGCGTATGACGGCTTCACTCACAGATCACGCAAGCAATTTATAAAGCCATTGGGCACGTCAGCCGCGAAGTTGACTAATGTGCTACTTTATTTTTCACAGATTTCTTCATAATTTATCGACATGCAAGCAATTATATTGTACAATGGGGTTCTCAAACAGCACATTAGTATTACAATAACAATGAAAACGTCGATAACAAGCCTTTAACGTCACGATATAATTAAAATCACTAACGAGGTTATTAAATGCAGTCGGCAAATTAAAATCAAGACTTATTTTAGCGAATTAACTCGGTTACAAAATCTCGTCTATGTTTATAACAATTTTATTTGTATTTTTGTTGATATTTATCTCGATAAAATTGAAAATAGTGTTTCTCACCCAAACTGTTTGATTTAAATTGGTATGGTTGTTCCAAGCTGGCAATAATTCCAATAAATTTTATTTATTATTTTATTAAAGCGACAATCAACAATTAGAACATGCTAACCAACGTTAATTTAAGAAAGAAAATCGTTATTTAAAAGCCACGAATAATAATAATCATCGAGAATCGTAACCATACAATTTAACAGGACAACATTTAAATACAGATGGAATGAATTCTTTTAAACAACTAACTACTCAGGGCGTTTAGATTCATTAACGGAAATTTAAAAAATAAATGAGAACTTATTTTGCCACTAGACAGCGCTGGTGTAGTGAAGATACTTAGAACAAAATTCTACCTGTTGTCAACCCTGTAAACTTTTGATAGATAAGGTGACTGGACCGTACGCTACACTAGCGCTATCTACTGACCAAGCCCTCGTTACGTTGCACTATAAACAAAATGTGCAACGCGTTACAGGACACATTACAAGTACATGTTGCGTCTGGAATAAGATATAAAGGCGATAACGCGAAGTTGTCTCAATATTCACAATTTCGTCTAATAAACCGAAATTGCAAAAATAATGTAGAATGTAGCTCTCATGCATGATCAGTATAAATGATATATTATTTTAGAATTATGTATTTTTCAAACAATAGCCGTGTTATTTCAGTACTTTATATTTGTGCTACTAATATATTTGACACTACAATATAATTTTATATATCTCAAATTCTATCCAAGTACAAAATATTTACACAATTTTATATTTAGCATTTGTACATTACCAATTAGTTAATAATATAATTATGTGTAAAGCTTTCTTCAGGGGTATTAATTGATAGAATAAATCAAAATCCATACAACAAATTATTCAATTTAAAATATCGGCTGAATTGGATTGGAAAGTTGTGAATTTTAATAGATTATCAACCTTATACTCATTTACTTAAGTTCAAAATATGTTATGTTTCTGACTAAGCAACCAATTTTTGTACGAGTGTCGCTATTTACTGAAAGAGATATAAAAAATAATATTTTATAACGAATAACGGGGTTAGCTAGGCAGAGTACATAAGTAAATACATTATTTTTGCTATTTATTAAAACATTGGAATATTACTTAGCAATGGAAGTAATTGGACATTATTCTAAATTAATTACTATGTTTTTCGACGTACTCACTTAACTGTTTGACAAGGAACTCTACTAGTACCAAGCCATACTAGAGGCTCATTAATTAAGACACATTAAGACACTCATATTCATTGAACAAGTCGAGTTCATCAAACAATTACGTGACTAAGTCGAAAAACCATAATAATTAATTTAGTATGACTCACGAAAGTTATAATACAATACAAGTTACATTATTCGTATTATTTTTACAAGTCATGTTATTCTTTTCTCACTCATATCAAGAATAGTGTTAATGTTTCCTGTATTTTAATATTACGCCCTAAGATTTGTCTTTTATACATTACAAATTACAATTGACATATATACTTATCAATTTATAAAGTTATTTTGTTACAGTCATAAATAGTTAATGTTCGGGTATTTTTAAGGATGGGTCACACCGCTAGGAAGCTGTGTATGTGCCCTATGCTTTAGTATATCGTGTACTATAAAATGCAGTTCCCAGCACTGGAATTTATAGTACCGCATAAAATTTCACAATTTTAAGTATTTATAACTTTTTTTAGAAACATTATAGTGAGTTTCTGTTAAATGCGAATGTTTGCATTATAATTTATAGTACCGCATAAAATTTCACAATTTTAAGTATTTATAACTTTTTTTAGAAACATTATAGTGAGTTTCTGTTAAATGCGAATGTTTGCATTATTTATGAACAATGCTAATTCACTTGGATGTGATTTTCATAAATATTCCAGACGCTTATCTTGTGTATGCTGATCAACAGCGTATTCACACCATATTTGGTTGATTTCGATGGATTAATCATAACGAGAGCAGAAATTAATACATTTATTAGCAACAGATTTTATACATTCGAAAATGATAGATTAATCACAGAACTTAAGGTTCAATATCGTTTGATAATCAATTTCTGCGCTCATAATGATAGGTATAACAATTAGATCCGTGACAGGCTTGCACATGCGTCTACCACCTAACTCCTATATCATACAACGAACTGAACGCAGCCGTAACTAAGCAGACTAAAATTTTATACATCAATACTGAACGTACTCTTTATTTAAGTACGTGAAACAATACAATAGGGATGACGAACATTAAAAACCTATTTAGTCCGTCTGTTAGACAAAGGAAAAATATTAGACACGTATTTTTTCTTGAAAACAGAATTCAATTAACACGAATTGATCTTTAATAGTTGCTCGCTACGTCACACCTAAGTAAAACTTATACATAGAAGTGATGTCACGCGCTATTTCGAGTCGATATACCGTCGACAGTTGTTTATTCTGTAGGAAAAGAAAATATACGTATCTAATCTTTTAAATTAACCTATCAGACGGATCATATTTAATTTTCCCTTTTATCATCATTCCTATTAAAATGGGACCTTACGTAGTTATGTTAAGGGGTATAATTATTAATCACTAGCCTCAGTATGTGACAAAATCAGCGAGGTGGGAGGGTGCAGGTCACTTGAGCTTGGCTCGCTTGGGTAGCGGCGCGTCTTCGTCCTCGGAGGGCGAGGGTCGCTTGCTACTCTTTGAAGACGCGTCGTCCTCCTGCAGCCTGATCTCTGGCAGCGCTGGCAGCTCTAGCTCCACGCAGCGCTTGTTCATGTACTTTTCTAGGCGGTTGCCAGCTCTGGAAGGTAAATGAATGATGTTATTATGGTAAATGTTTCTGTGAGTGTGTTTTAAAGTGTTGTTGTTTTGCTATTTAACGTGAATCGTCGTGACAAGTTTCTAAAAGAGTTTATAACTAAATAAATCTCTGTTATAATATAATGTCCATTGGAATACTAGAAGGTATTATTCCATTTCAGAAGATACATATTTTAAAATATTTTGATTGAAATCATATCGTATATTGATAAATAATCAATATTTTTAGAAGAGTGCCATCATCAAATTACAAGAGAAGATCCCTTGATATCACAAGTATAGAGACTACTTTAAATCGCGTACAGGATCTCTAGATAATACAATAAATGTAGTACTAACTTGGCGACAGGATGCGAGTCCTTGTTGTACGTGTAGCAGTTGAGGAAGACGAGCGCAGCGTCAGCCAGCAGGTCCTCGTCCGTGACGTACTGGGCCGACTCCAGCTTGTCGCGGATCGTTGAGAAGTCCATCGGCTGGTCTATCACTTCCAAGTAGTCGGGCACCTGGGTTATATTAGCATTATGTTTATATTCCTTGAGAAGTAGTAACACACAAAAGTAAACCTTCACACAAGTTGATGCTATCTATGATGTCACCATTTGCATAAAAACATGGCACTAATACAGAATACAGTAAATTTTTCTGTCTTTTGTATAAAATGCTTCCTGAAAATATAGTTATTATAATCTAGAATACATTTGTACTATTCGCTCGGAGAGGATTTACAAGGCAATTCCTTAGTACTTACATCTTCAGGTGAGACAGGTTCATAGAAGGGCCAGCAGTCCTTATGCTTCATGACGTCCCGCAGCAGTGACTGCAGCGCCTCTGTATGCAGCTGCGTCAGCCTACTGCTGCGCTTCTTAGTGCTTCGCTCCTCTGTAACATTATATCAACTTTAACTGTCATTGCACTGATTTTTTATCTAGCACATATTGTTCCGAGTGTGATGTGAAAATTCTATTGTGTGGCAAATAAGCTATAAACCACTGAAGTCAATCTTCTCGCATGGAAAATGAATATAAGCATTGATCACCACACTGGTCAATAGACAAAGGGTACTTGTCCATAAACAACTATTTAATCCATGTATGTCAAATTGTATATTTGTAAACGCACAGAAATCGTAGTGGCCCGGTGAATAAGACGCTCGCTTCTCATGCATGAGCGTTCCGGTTCGAACCCTACCGACGGCAAGTTGCAATATGACTTTTGGCAAGTTATAAGTATCCACAGCACAAAAGGTGCATGAAAACATCGTGAGGAAACCGGGACTTATAATTTCTAATTATAAGTTTGAAATTGCCAACTCACATTGAGCAAGCGTGGTGATCATGCTCAAACCTTATCCGTGTTAAAAGAGGTTTTGCTCAGCAGTGGGTATTGATTATGATGAAACGCACACACTTCACAGGAGAAACCCTAGCGTTGGCGAATATTTGTTTAAAACACGCTTTTATTTTACAAGGGTTGTGGACCTACCATTCTCTCATGGGGCAGATATTACTGCATAAGACATACGATAATATTCTATTAGGCTTACCGTGATGTCCATTCGTGAGTGAGTTCTTCGATCTTCTGCCCGTCGTGTGCCTTTCATTCGTGGTTTCTTGATCCTGATTCTTTGATCTAGACACGAATGGAATAAAAATTGTATAAGACATTTATAACTGCTTTATTGGCCGAGTGGTCGCAAGTGACTGCCGGATAAGGGATCTCGGTTTTGATTTCTGGGTTGGTCAAAGTGTTACTGGGTTTTTCTAAAAATCTCAGTAGTAGCACGGAGTCTGGAAATGTGACCAGTATATGGCAATAGGCTCACCCATATTACATGGGACTCATAACATAAATAGTAAAAAGTGGGTGTTACATTGTATAGTGGCATTATGTGCCGTAATGTGCACCTCCACCGTATTTGACTAAAACATGACGTCATTAAGTTAGTATTTCATACGAAGATTCACAAGTGTCTTTTTCGAAATAACTATAGAATTGGACTTGTTGTGTAAGCTTGTGTATAGCTTTCTGGTAAACATTTAATGTGTTATACTTACTTCCGTCCTCTCTTGGTCTTTCCATTGTGTACTGGCGAGGATTCCTTACTGGCTCTCCCTGGTTTGGCCAGTTTCACCAGCGCTACATTATATTCGCTGTCATCCGAATCTGCAAAGTAAATTGTCTATTAATTCACCAATATTATGTTATGATGCCAGAGTAAGAGATAAATAGAGTGATTGGAGTTTTATAGCACTAAAATAAAATGATTATTTGTGTCTTTACCATTCACGGGACCACATGGTCCCGGTTATTTGGGAGGCGTACGAGGGGCCGAAGTCAACTGCGCAGAGGCCCTTTAGCCAAAGTTAATCTAAATGTTATGGACACAAAATTATTATTATTCATTTAATTTAGGTAGGCAGTTGATACAACTGATATATGCCTGTATCGTATATTTCTATTAGTATTTAATTCTATATCTTATGTCTATCAAGTTTGTTTTAATTTAAATAAGTTAAAGCATAGAATTAGTTTAACTGCTGTACTTTCTAATGTAATAAATAGCTTTACATTGCAACTAATTGTATATAATTGATATAATACTATTTTTTATTGGATGTTAATCACTCCATTCATAACTGACTCTTTGACATCGACATCGAGTATAAAGTAAAAAACGAGTACCTAATAGGATAGCGATTTATGATGGTATGTTAGTGAGCTTCAAAGCAGTTAGTAAGCGTTTGAAGACTTTACACGTAGCAATGAATAGGGTTTACTAAATTTTCCTGGCGCGAACCATGGCCACATACTGTCCTGATAGGAGTAAATTCACGTAGTGTTTTTTTCTTATTATTTATTTTATGATTGTATGGTGTGTAGAAAGTTAACGTATTTAATGTAACGTCTACTTTGATATCAAAATACTACAGTTAGTTAGAGACATAAAATCACGAGGATTGCGGTAGTTTGAAAAGTTTTGCTATCGTAGCAAATAATTTTTCTATCAACTAAGTTTAAAAAAACCCGACTTCAACCGCCTCTTTTAGTTCAGTTAATGAATATCCTAAAACAAACTTTCCTAAGTGAAACAAATATTTTTCTGAAAACCGCAACTATGTCGATTCAGCCATATCGAGATAATCGCGCTTAAACATATAGGTCAAACTATGAACATTTCTTTTTTTGAAGTCGGTTAAAATAATTTTCAGTTTACTTAGACAATCTATCGTAATATTCTTATGACCTTAAAAAACACCATAATAAGGAAAGAAAATAAAAACAAATGCTGTGCAGTAGATGGCAAGCATGAGAATGCAGTGAGTTAGTACAGAATGTAGATTATATAATATGTATGGCAGAACAACCCACAGCCTAAGGTGATAGGACTCTTACTACAACCAGATTGGCCACGTAATAGACATATTTAAGTACCATAGGATAAAGACTAAAACAAGAGAAAAACAGGATGAAAAAGCAGTAAAAGAAAATATGATTGACGAGACTATAATCGCCAGTGGCGCCGCCATTTAGGAGCAGAAACACTTGTGCTGTTATTTAGTATGATGGGAATTTAAAACGAGGATAGCATCAAATTGTTATCTGGGATTGTTTAATATAACAAGGAATAAAAGTCATATCATAAAATTAAAAGAGTTCGACAACAAGAAACAAAATGATTAATAACTTCAACCAAAATTGGACTTCTGACAAAGAGATGAGGAATGAAATAGACACCAACTAAAATTAGACTTTCCCCAGGAAGAAATAAGAGTGATATTAGTATGTTCGATAGTTCCGTGGCCATGTATCGGTACGCACCGAAGGAGTCCGTGTGTCTCGCCATGCGACTGTAGCTGTTGATGTACGCGGTGGCCGCGGCCGCGCACCGGCGACTGCTCGTCTCTTCATGATATAGGACCCCCATTAGTTTTGTATACAATTATAGAAACTACTTTAACATTATTTAGCCCTAAGAAGCTAAATAGTTTATGTTTTAAGTTGTCTACTGAAGTTTATTAGAGTGAAATAAGATTACTTGTTATGTAATTTTAACTTAAATAAATTTTTTAATTGCTCTTTTAGGGTATTTCAACAATTTTATTAGATTAAGGGATCATTTGACTTGAGTGAACACAAGTTTACAATGTAAATATAATATTAGTGATCATTTTTGCTCAAGATATAGACTTATATCGGGGCGCAACATATGTAACGTCCAATAACCTCGAGTAGAATGACTTCTCCCACCTTGAGTGAAGCAAAGGGTGGTGTCAATCTCTTACTGACTAAAAACTACCCCGTTCCTACAAACCAGGACTTTGGTTTACAAAGGTTGTCTGCAGTCTCGGTTAGGTAGTAGCCCTATTGGGTCTCATTAGTGGTGGCCTGATGGCTTTTGAAGTGCACAGAATACTCCTTGTTGTACGCTCGAGTCGGTTCTTGGTCGCCGTAGAATAGATAGCACAGAGTGGGTACGTACCGCGCGCGGGCGCCAGGCAGGCGGCGCAGAGCCAGCGTCGCGCGGCGCGGGCGGGGCGCGGGCGCGCGCACTCGGGGTGGTAGCGCGCGCCGCACGCCGCGCACGTCGCGCCCAGACGACCGCCGCTGCCGCAGCACGCGCACACGCCCGCGTCCACGCACTCCGAGTCACTGGGGGACGGGACACATCGGTATAAGAATCATCATCATATGGGCTATGTTCACACACGCCTTCCAAAGTAACTTCCAGAAACCTTAGTATGACTTTGTTTTACGTTTAAAATAATCGAAACGAGTACGCGTTGCGCGCGCTGATTGGCCGGCTCCAATAATCCAACCAATCACAGTGCCGAACTCGACCTATGGCGTCAGATAGACCAGTTGAAAGCAACCTGTATCTAACTACTGAATGCTTAGTACAAAGACGAGATTGAAACATTAACGCGTTCAACACTGACTGGCCTGCTCTAATGAACCAACCAATTAGAAGACTAAACAGGGTACCGTTTCGATGTCGTTAAACGTAACAATAGGCCTCCATTCGAGAACCTTTATATCCTATCGGCCGTAATTCCTCCAACATAATTATGTACTTCTACACTTTACAAATATAGACAGACAGCTACATATTTTCATACAACAAGAACAGTAATGTTACCTGCTATTAGCTTCCTCCTGCTCCACTTCCTCAGTGTAGAGTTTCCTCCTCTTCCGCGGAGTCCTCTCCTTAGGCTTGCACACGTCGCAGAACCAGTCGCCCTCTGGCACTTTCTGTTCATTCACAATGTTTTATTAGTACATTCTACAATACACACAAAAATACTTCATTGCACACCACGAGATTAAAGACAGACGACGTACGTATGTACGTACGTACAGAACGCCAGCGACGCTATTGGCAGAAGCTAAAGAAACAAAAAATTAATAATCGAGATCCGATATTCTATAATAAACGTGGACCATTATAAACTGCAAACTCCAACCCGCCTGCCAAATATGGAGATTATCACTTGTAGAGAAGAACATTATTCCAGCAAGAAACTGCCATTTGCTGGTGAATAGTATAATGAATCAAGTAAAGACAGGACATAGTAAACAAATTGTATTTTGTGATGCGAGTAGAATTAAATATATACATAAGTTTAATATTAAAGTAATATTTAGTCATGCAAATTACCTTCGGATACCCAGTTGCCTAGCAGCATGTAATCATAAAAAATACATTTATGATTAAATATTTAAGTGTACTTATGATCATCATTTAGATTCATTGAATTCAACTAATTTCGATAAAAAATCTAGGAGGCCGTATTTACTGTCACAACATTGTGCAAATGTAGCAAGACGTTTTTTATCCAATCACAGCAGCTGTCAATTATTGAACGTCCAATGGTGGGAAACTAGCTAATTCCCTATTGGGCGAAACATGAGAGGGGCTCACTACTGCCATCTAGTGAGCAAAAATAGAGTAGCCCCCATTGTCTGTTTAGATTATTGTGCAAATTTCTAAAGTTTACATTCCCATTGAAAAAATAAGAGAGAAAGAAATATAATGTTTATCTGACGACAGGCTGATCATCTTTATCATTGTATCAGCCACAAGACTGCTGACCAGCCTCCCCAGATTTACATAACAAAAATTTTTTTTAATTTCTGTGTGTGTTACAAGTTCGATTTCTGCACGAAACAATTCGTTGTGGAATGCTCAAGCCGTTGTTCCGGGTTTGGGCGTATTGTTTATGCGAAACTGTATGTTTGTAAACACGTCCATGACACAGCAGAAAATCCTAGTATTACTTTAAAAAAGGGTACTCACAGTGAGTTTAGGCTTCAAGCAGTACAGATGGTGTCCCTTATTGCACCCGTCACAGAGGAGCATATTGTCAGGATCCGTCTTCCTTCGACACAGTCTACAGCTGGTGTTCAGTATACTGGCGGACCAGGTGACGCTGGAGTCCAGTGTGAACAGGTGCAGCATAATCTGGGAGAAACTCTTGCACTCCATTAGGGATACCTCCCAGCGCTGAAGAGCTTCCAGGTCTAAAGACTTGTTCCTCGCTTCTCTGTCTTTTCTTTCCTTATCGTCGAGGCCTGTAGAAGTTATATGCAATTAGTACAGATCGAAGCTTTCAGGAAGAAACATAAATGAGTTCAATCTCTATTTCATTTCATAATATGTTTGATTGGCTGTCACTGCTCAACCCACCGCATACGCCTGAACTGACGTTCACAATGCTTCATATTACAACTCCCTAAAGTATTTTACGAGGTATCGGCTGAGAGGAAGTTGGTCGTTAAAATATGTCAAATATTTTATGTTGTTATTATTTTGTGTGTTATTCGGTGGTTCATGTCGGTGGCGAATAAATTATTTTTCTTTCTTTCTTTCTTTCAAATATGTTACAATGAAACTTTTATAATAATAAAACTGTTAAAAACTATTATAGCCGTTATAGCCGCAGATGACGATGACATGTTATCCTACTGTTGGGCAATGGCCTCTTCTCATGCGGGGAAGCAATGAGCATTAATCACGCCACTTGCTTAAGGCGGGTTGGTAATTCATCGATGACAATGTCACCTCTGCCTATCGAAGTAAATCGAAACTCACCGAGTGGTCGTTTCAGGTACTTGTGGTTTATAGCTTGTGACACTTGCAGCAGTGCGGACGCGAGGCCCCGGACCACTTCGGGCTTGGCCCCGGGCTCCGGAGGCTCCTTCTTGACACCATTCACTTTGGGCGCCTCCAAGTAGTAGCCGGGGTCGCGGTATTTGTTTATTGCTATAGTTTTCATGTCTGATTCTTCTATGTCTGTAGATAAAAATAATGTTTTATTTATAATAAAAATAGGTACACTCTGTCTATGTACTAGCAGATGAGAATGAGTAGCCAGTTTCTAAAAAATACTTTTTATTTATGTTCAGTAGTGCCATTTGTCTACTAATACAGCAAAATTGTGGGTATTGGGGCCGATGCTTAGCTGGACATGCAGACGAAGAGCAGTAAGTACCACTTGAAACTCATATGATTCAATTCAATTCAATCATATGATGACTTTCAGTCAGTAAAAATCAGGTACACAATCCCTCACACTTAATACAGAGTTATTTGAATAGTTCCCTCTTCAAAAATATTTAATTCGTTGATATGTCGTACCGAAAATTCTCAAAATTTGTTCACTCGAAGTAGTCTCCAAACATCGGAAACAAGGTCTATAATGGAGTTAGCGGAGAACGGTCATGAGTGACTTGGGGATTGAACAGTCAATATATTGTACTTAGTAGTGTTTAGACTAACCGTTGGGTAGTTTGAGCACTCCATTGGGTAGATGGTAGTCGTCCCTGTACTGGTTGTCCGGTCCCCAGGTGAGGTACTCGGCCTGCTTGTCGTAGCCGCGCAGCATTATAGTGCCGCGCCATGCCTCGCGGTCCTGTACGATACGTAAATAAATAATTGTATAATTTTCTTATCATATAAGAGCAAACAGTAATTAATCCTACCTAATGGTAAGCAATCAGAGCCGCCTAAAACACCAGAGAAATTGTAATTGTATTGCCTGTCTTTTAAGAAGTACACTCCTCCCTTGAAGGTGAGAGTTTGTTCTATAGTTTTGCTTTGCGAGAAAAAAATTTAGAAAATAGGTACAGTTGTTGCCTGTCAACCATTTATTAGATGGTGGGAATGAATACGCAGTCCATAGTCTCTACCTACCCAGTGGGAAACAGGCATAAAGTTATTTATGTGTGAAACGATGACGGAAAAGTATTTGTAAACACACTAACAATAAAGGAGAAAATCATAGTTTAGGGAAAGATTAGATAACCTTAAGAAAAGATTACTTTAAAAAATAATATATGTAAGTGTCACAGTTACCTTAACTTTGAGTGACCCGAGTAGTCCATGGAAGATCTTCTCCTCCAGCTCAAGTATATGGTCCCTGAGAGACAGCTCCAGTGCTTCAGACAGTGTACTGTCTGCTGGGACATTCAGTGACGGCTGGAACTTGCGGTGGCGGGTGCCGTAGTGGACCGTCGGCGCGGAGGGAGCCTGAAGAGTTAATAATAATAATAAGCCAGGGATGCAGGAGTCTTCGGCTGGAGCAGATGATCTGAGTAAAAAGTGGTGGTAGTTTCCTCTTATAGAGGTAACCCTTCAGCCACTCACAATATCGTTGCCCCTCTAGATATGCATCTCTGAATACCTCTTCGGGGATAAAAGGTGTGATGTTATTTTAAGATAATCTAGTTTCTAGTAGGAATACAGTATACATACAGGCGCGGCAGTGGGGTTGAGTAGATGCAGTGGACACTTGGCGATGTGTGTAAGTATCCTGTCCTTGTCCTGGTCCAGGGCCTGGCGCAGGTCGCCCTCCCGCAGGCCGCGCTTGTTGAGCGCCGCCGTCAGCGCAGACAACTGCTCCGCCGTGTGGAACACCCACCAACGGGGGCGGAGGCTCTGGATATACGAACATACAGGACAATTAGCTTCGTATCTATGGCAGTGAAAATTTAATTCTGTCTATGGAGATTATGTTACATTTTACTGTATAAAAAGATATTTCTTTCTGCTCATTTAGAGCTCTCTGTGAGAAGAAGATAAACTGTGTCTTATCTTCTTTGGTGTCTATTCTTTAGTCGGTTATTTCAATAAAATCAATCAATTTACTAGAGAAAATAATAACATACTATAAAATCTTAGTATCTAAGTTTTATCAAAGCAGTCTGTCCAAACAATCCATCATTATGATATACCAAAATGGCACCTAAATACACGATAATAAAGAGTAAAGGTTAAAGTAAAGAGCTGACCTTTCCATGTACGAGACAGGTGGTGATATCTCCAGTGCACATGAGCAGGTCCTGCAGTTGTTGGGTAGTGGAGTCCAATACTGTGCCATTCATTTTCTGACTGATACCATTGAGATTGGACAATGGCTTCTTAGGTGAACTGCCGCGGGAGGTTGCACCGGATTCGTTCTCTTTGTCGCTTCCTGCTGTAAGTTACGAATATGTTAACATTTCTATATGACTTACATTTGTAAATTGAGCTATTGTTCATTTTAAAACTAAGTGATAAGGTTGAAAATCTATTAAAGTAGTTGAATAGTTACATTAAAATATCTAGAAGACTACAGATGCCATTTACAAGAGGACTATAGATTCCATTTATAAATTTATCGCTAAGTAATAAGGTTGCAAACTTATTGAATGAACTTGATAGTTTTGTAAGTTTAGTGTATTTCTTATAAAATCGAAATTGGATTTAAAATTAGTGGCGTAACATTAAATGAATGATTGATAATACTTTAATTGTTCAAGTGGTAAGGTTTGAGAAGTGTAATAAGGTAATAAGAGTAAGTATAAGTGAGCGACCTCTCTCCTTCTGCTGCTCGAAGAGCTTGGCGACGTGCGCCAGCGTGTCGGCGGCGTCGTGCGGCGCGGGCGACACCGGCTTGTGGCGGCACGCCCCGCGCGCCTCCGCGCCCGCCTCCACGAACAGCCCCGCCAGCGCGCGGCACACCCAGTAGCGCCGGAACGCGCGGTCCGACCCTGCGCACGGGACATATACCTTAACTACACTTTTAAACCTAAAATATCTTCTCAATACATTCTTAGCCCACAAAATACTGCTCAATAAGCCATCAGACCACCACAGATGGGGCCCAATGGGCTGTGACCAAAGTGCAAGAGCAAGAACAGGATGGTTTTTAGTCAGTAAGTGTCTGAACACGAATGGACCAGCTTGATCAGAATGACACCACATCTTTACAGATAACTGGCACAAAGCAAAAGCTTGTGTATATAGTAACTGAAGACCCAACATCCCCTTCCACTCCCCCTCACCCCCTAAAACCCTTGTAACACCTGTCTATTGGTAGCGCCACTAACTTCATCGGCATCAGATAATCCATGTATTATATAAAATAGTAACACTTCACTGCACTCACCAACATAAGTAGTATACTCAAACAACTCCTCCTGGTGCCCCTTCAGCTCCTTCTCATACTGCTTTTTCTTCTCCTCACTCTCTGCTATCAGTTTGTCTATGGCTGCCTTCATCTCCTCATCCACTGCCCTTGCCTTCTCTCCGGTCAGCTTATTCTCTTCCTTCTTAGCAAATGCCTCTTTACGGATCTCTTGTTTTGCTGTTATCAACTGAGCTTCGCGTTTCCTTTCATTTGTCTGTTGAAGTAAAGAAAAGTGGAATTTATTGTTACGTAAGTGATGGTTCATTACCAATTGATGATTGGCTTATGTTGATGATAATGTAAATTGAACTTTATTGCTTAATGTTAAAGTTGATAATTGTCTGTTTCAATTTAATAGTTAGGTTAAAAGTTATGTTGTGATTAGTAGAGGATTTTATCATGCAATAATAATAGGAAATAAATATGTAAATACATACTTGTAACAGTCTGAGAGCTTGTTTGGTGTTCTTCATTTCTTCAAGTCTTTCTTCAATGACGTCTCTCAATGTGGCGTAACTCAGGATCTGGTTCATTAGGCATTGGAGCACTAGGAACTTGTCCTCTGTACAAAAAAATGTACTTTAGTCTGTGCTTTGATAACCATGTTGTAATTTGTTTTGCAGTTAACAACTCTTCGTTACCAAGATGGAGGATAAATAAATTTCTAACATTAACATTAGTTTTACATAGTTTCTGTTAAAAACAGACTTTTATTTACAGGTTTTTAAACTAAGATCGGTTAATTAATTTCAGTCATCAGATAACGTTTATATTTTCTAACCACCTGTATATGTACATTATGGATGCAATAAATACTTGATTACTTGATAACGTAAGTAAAAATAGTGTTACCGAGTGACAAATCCGCGATATGCGTGGAGTGCAGCGCGTGCAGTAGCGCGGGCTGCTGCACCCGCAGACGCAGGCCGGCGTCGTCCGCGCTCGTGTACCCGCCGCGCGCCTGGTAGCGCCACGTCGCGCAGCGCCCGCCCGGGCCCGCGCCCGACGACAGCAGGTGCAGTCTAAGGAACATTATTTATTTTATTTACAGCCGTGATCGTGTCACTGCAGGGTAAACCTACCCTTCTTCCACCTTTAACTTGACACCTACGATAAAGATTGGCCGCAGAAAGTTTTGCACAGAGACGAGTGGATGCCTGTGATATACCAACTCATTCAATATAAACACTACACAGTGATTGAGGTGACAGAAGACGCAATCCCCCTCCCTCATTCCTCCCCTTGTTCTATCTCCACCTCCAACCCCATTTTCACACAACCCATTTACTAAACGATATTCCACCATCACTGAATTTACAATAGTACTAAAACACCAGGAATAAATGATAACTATGACAATTACCAATTTGAATCCAATTTCATTCGTTCTAAGAGTGTACGAAATAAATAAATTACTAATGAGTAATAGAATTACAGATTACACAAAAAAGCATAGAACAGCAACAACAAATAACTGTATATAGGCTTTGACTGTATGGGGATGATAACTGACCTCAAAACTTCGCTGACTGTGGTGGGGTCAAGAGGCAGTTTGCTGAGCGGAGTGCCGAGGTATGTCTGTGACCATTTGCTGGCTTTAGTCGCCAGCTCCATCGCCTTCGTCACACCCATCTCAGTGTCTGTTTCTTTGTCCTCTGCAATAATAAAAAAATGTATTTTATTAGTTTAATAGGTTCATTATGAACTTTTCTCAGTGTATTCACGTGAGTAACCCGTGATTTTAGTTCATTTAGTATGTCTCACGATAGTTATTATAAAAAATAGGTTCATCTATGTGCCTAAATGTGTTAAAAGCAAAACTGAAAACTATTACGAGGAAAAATTATAGAGTAAACCTATTTAATAATATAATATTTTTTGTGTCTAGGAGTTGAAATATTTAAATAAGACTACACCAATAATTTACTTTAGAACATGCTTTTGAGCATGTTTATGCATTTAAGTGTGGAAGAGTCACGCTTCGGCACGAATAGGCCGGCTCGACCAGAGTGATATCACTATCGACCAGAAAACCGACGTGAAGCAACGCTTGCATTGTGTTTCGTCGTGAAGTGAGGTTACCGGAGGCTCAATTACCCCCTCCTCAATCCCCGAATCCCTAATGATCCTCAAATTTCTAATCCCCAAAAGGCCGGTAACGCATTTGTAACACTGCTGGTGTTTTGGGTGTCTATTGACGGCGCCGATTGTTACCATCAGGTAATCTGTATGCTCGTTTACAAACTTATTGCATAAAAAAATTAAGAAACGGTTTTTAAAATATCAATTAAACTTATATTTGTTAAAATATGTAAACTATGATAGTTACCTTCACCAGTAGACAGTTGTATCCTTCCATTCTCATTATACTCCTCAGCTTCATCTTCTTGCAAGGAGAACACGGTAGTCAAGAACATCTGCACCAGGTCACTGAACAGGCCAGCATGCTCCTTCTGTGTCAGAGCCTTCCTGAACGTCTCCAGGTCTAGTTGCTGGTTGTGGAATACATCCTTCACCTTGAGGATCTCGGAGTATTGGTGGACAAACTCCAGAACTGAGAGGAAGTCACCAAAGTGTTCATGTGGTATCCCTTCCACTTCTACCAGAGTACCAGTTGGTAACACCTGCAAAAAGAGTTAGTTATTATGTGTTGAGATGTAAAACAGAACAATGATTCAGCATATATGTGAAGATTTTTCTTATTCTTAAATTCTTAGCATATTAACAGAATATTCGCAAAAGCAACATTCAAATTAGTCGCATTTCCAAGCTTATAAGTGAATTGATTAAGCCTTTGATTGCTGACAGAAAACTGCTGAAGGCAAATCCTCCGCTAACGTAGGTCACCGGTGACCTTGTCTTTGAAAAAAAGACTTAACTGATTTTTTGCTATCTCTCTCATAATAATAATAAATGTACGTTGTTATTAAACTTTTTATATTTGTATTACATACTTTCAAATGACCTAAAACACTATCAAAATAGATTACACTAAACAACTTACTTTGTGGTCCTCCAGTTCTATATCATCTTTAACTTTCTGCCACTCCTTCATGTAGGCCTGCAGTCGTGCAGTCTTCTCCTTTTTACGCAACCTCTCCTCTTCCTTGCGCTGTCGCATCAAATCTTCTGCTTTGCGCATCTTCTCCGCCATTTCTTGCGCACTCTTTTTAGCTGCCGGGTCCATTGGAGGCTTGTTCTTTTGTGCTGCAGAATTCGTTGAGATTAGGTTAATGTTAATTGTATTATTGTAGACAACAATTATAAGTATACTTGATAAACAGAATATTGGATTTTGGTTTATTAAAAGTGGAGTGGAATTTTGCTAGAAACACTTTTTTTTTACATTTTATAGGTCGACGTTTGACCACCATCTCGCCTGATGGTAAGCGATGATGTGGCCGACGATGGAGCACGCCAACCTATGAGCAACCTGTTCACTCGGGACTTGAAGACACCCAAGTCATATTTGACGGGAAACACAGCCTCTGGCAAGGAATTCCATTCCTTAGCGGTTCGCATGAGGAAGCTTGACGCGAAACGCTTCTTGCCTAACACACAAAATTGAAGACTTCTTTGTGATGATGTAGGCAAATCAAAATAATTTGATGTCTTTGAGTATAACTTACCTTCAGCTTTATCTGTCTTCTTCACAAATTTGTCCATGGACTCCTGACGTCCCTTCTTATCAGGGCTGGGTTTCTTGACGGTCTTAGTCAGTTTGGAGGCAGACCCTGGCTTAGCTGGACCTTTGGAAGCTGGTGGTGACTTTAGGAGCTTCTTAGATGATGGGAACACCGGTGGGTTGCCCGTGAATATTTGGTCAAAGCTTACTTTGCTTATATTGTACTTTTCTTGTGCTGATTTCTGTGAAGAAGGAGATTTAAAGTTAATAAAAGTGTTCTGTATTGTTTGTGGATCTAGTACAGATGTCAAAGTTGCTAACTGCCAGTAACTTGGAAGTGTAAAGTCCACAATCTGACTTAATGTAAAACAAAATGTAACTGTAAATCAATGTACCTTAATAGAAATAACACCATCGGAACCGCCTTCAACAAACTGTTTGAGGAAGAGGCGGTTCTTATCGCGCGTGTAGACTCCCTTGCGCCTGCGCACGCGATCTGACGGCGCTGTGCCTATCTGTCCTGACGCGGAGGGGTCACTTTCATGATACTGTTCCACTTCGTAGCAGTATGCTGTAGATGGTAACATTGTTTTGCTGAGGAGAAAAAGGAATTATTGGTTACAATTACAATTTTATAATAAGCGAGTGAATCATAACATCACGCCTTTTATCCCCAAAGGTTAGGCAGAGGCCGTAATGTGCACTTACGGCTGTTAATGCCACTGTACAATGTAACACGCACTTTACACTATTTATGTTATGAGTACCATGTAATAGGGGGTGAGCCTATTGCCGGGCACAATTCAAGACACGGAGTCTGGAATTGGGCCTTCTACTACTACTGAGAATTTAAAAAAACACCAATATTACTTTGCCCGACCCGGGAATCGAAGCCGAGACCCCTTGCCCAGCAGTCGCACTTGTGACCACTTGGCCAACGAGGGCGGTAAGTGATTGAATATTTACTAAGTTACTGCAAGTTAGCCCCGCTTCCATTGCCACAACTTGTTCATTTGTTCCACAAGGTAAAATGGAAAAGTTATGTAAGATAACATGTTATGACGTCTTATTTTTTGTATTTAATTAATAGACTCATTTATCATAAATGGAATAGAAACTATTGAAGATCATATTTTAAAATAAAACCTATTAGTGAGAGTATAAAATATTTTTCACTGACTTTTGCTTTCTTACTGCATGGTGCATCTATGGTGCATCTATGGTGCATCTATGTAAGAAAGCTTAAAGTTTTAATAACTTCATCATCATCATCAGCCCGGAAATAGGCCCTTTTCAATGGCACGCCACTGAGCTTGATCTTCAGCATTACGCATTTAATAACTTGGGATTTAGCAACTATCAGTATCCATTAGCATCACGCCTTTATCAAATTCACAAAAGAGCAAAAGAGTAATCAGAGGTGCACATACTCAATGTGATAAAAAATTCATTATTTTCAGTGATTATAAAGTTTCACCAATGTATCAATTATGATGAATATTATAATATATTTTTATCAAGATTTGATAAGCAATGTCATTTCGAGTATTTGATACTAAGCATGTCTAATGAGACCAAACTGTTAGATAGGTAGTTTAGATAGTTACTAGAGATCATTGACCTTATCCAAAGTATTTATAAATGCGATATTAACTCTGCCTGTCTATCTTTCTTCACGCCGAAACTACTGAACCAATTTGTGTGAGATTTGGTACAGACATAGTTTAGATCTTGAGAAAAGACATAAGATAGTTTTTGTCCCGAAAATCAAGCGAAAGCGGGAACTTGTCAAAAATCCCGCGCGATCGGGAACTATGTGAGTAAAACCAAAAATCTGCCGGAAGTCGCTGGCAAAACCTATGTTATAAATGTTTTAAACAATCTTGTTAGACAATTATCTCGGCTTTTACTACCTGGAGTAATAGGCAGAAGTATAAAACTCTCTCACCTTGTGCCAGGTAACAATTTATTTATGAACTCCATATTTATTAATTATTATTTACATAACATCACACCTTTTATCCCCGAAGGGGTAGGCTGAGGTGCACATTATGCCACTGTACAATGTAACACCCACTTTTCACTATTTATGTTGAGTCCCATGTAATAGGGAGTGAGCCTATAATTATTATTTAATAATTATTCATTATTGCCTAATCCTATTTAAACTGAAGATGTAATAAATGTTTCTTTACATATAGAAAGTTATCCTACAATTTATTGAATACTTCATTTTTTTACTAGCTTCAGCCAGCATCAACTTCAATAGTAATGGAGGAAAATTAGCCCATAAGTTGTTTCAGACCATATTCTATCCTGTTACAAAGTTCATTGTGATCCTTTAAGCCAGTTTGATGTGACTGCATAACAAAGATACACAAACTCGCAAATTCACAAACCATTTCATTTAGCCACATTAGGCCCAACCGTTATTACAAGGGACTCATAACATAAATAGTGAAAAGTGGGTACATTGTGGCAATAAGTGCCGTTATATGAACCTCTGCCTACCCCTTCGAGAATATAAGGTGTGATGTTATGTTTGGCATTTAAAATAGTAGTGAGATTACCTCTACCTACATCATAATTTGGAGATTATAGAAATAATCAGGAGTTTATAGTTATATTAGTAAGAGATGGTATTGCACTCATTAGTTACACCTTTGTTATAAGCACTTGAGGAAATTTATTAATTAGAATTCTAATTTCAATCAAGTGCCCTTGTTAACTCTTTAAAGCTATTTCCTTAACACATGTTCCTCTCAATTGACACATAACATCACGCCTTTTATCCCCAAGTGGAAGGCAGAGGTGCACATTACAGCACTTAATGCCACTGTACAATGTAACATCCACTTTTCACTATTTATGATATGAGTCCCATGTAATAGTGGGTGAGCTAATTACCATATACTAGGCACAATTCTCTCAACTGAATCTTATTTAAATTAATTAATCAAACAAATCACACCTTAGACAAATGTGGTGATTAATGTTTACTTCTTCTTAGTGTGAGAAGAAGTTTTATCAGTAATGGGATAGACTGACTGATTATAGACTAATGATGATGATTAAATTTACTCTAAAGGAGATGGCTTTTTCTTAGTATTTTATATATGTATATATATTAAATACGTACACAACATTTTTTAACATATTTTCCAATTGCAATAGGCAGAAAACAGCTATGAGAACTCAAAAACTTTTTTTAATTGCATGGTTTTTTAAATTTGTTTCACATGAAAAAAGAAAAGCTATCTTTTACATGTGAAAAAAATTTAAATACAAAGATATGAACTAAGATATCGTTTTTTCATAACATATCCAGTTGTTTCAAAACCAAACCAATTTCTAAACTCGATACTTTTTACTTAGCAACAGTATTAATATGTGACTCATAGATAATATTTAGATCAAATAAGGATACTTTGGTATATTGTACATGCATAACCTTCAGAGCAAAGAGTATTTAATTGTCATATTTTTTGCTTATGTTTTTTTAGAAAGGTACATTGTACCTACTTGGTGTTAGTTATTGTGGAGTTCAAGGTCAAATGTGGTTAAGTTTAGAGAAATTCCAAGTTTCCATAGATATACAGTTGTATAGAATATTGTGGATATATCTTATGTATGATACCTACACATTTTTATTAAGTTGGGTACTTGTAACATTTATTCATTGTACTTTTAATCTTGTTATTAATTAAATTTGTAGTTTTATTATTATTTAGTACTTTATGTTAACAGTTTGTTTTATTGTTTTATTGGTACTGAGATAGTGTACTTAAGTTTAGACTTACCTGTCTGGGTGCTGTTTCTGTGCGGTTATGGAGAGTATATGACCCTCTCTCCACACCTCTCCCTCCAGACAGGCCTCCACTGTCTCTCCAACAAAGTACCGGTCCCTCACAAAATTAAAGACATCCTCAGACATCTCAGCAAAGGAACACCTCTTGGTTCTCATTGCTAGGTACAGTATGGGTATACGGAGCTCCATAGGGAAATCCTTCAGAGCTCTCCGTGCTGTCCTCTCACTGTGAAGGGCTTCTGAGTATGTCAAGTTGTTCTTCCCTGTCATCTCACATGTCCATACCATTGAATTGACGAGAATGATCCTCTCACAGTATTCTCTGCAAATAAACATTCATCAAACATTGTCTAATTATGATAAAAATTATGACGCGAATGACAGAAATAGCGAAATATTGTGTCACGCTCGCGTTGTTGCGCGACCCGCCGCGCGCTGACAATGCCAACGGTCCCCGTAAACTGATAACTACATTTAAACACAAGAATTTCGCGAAAACTCGGCGATATTATTGTTTACACTAATACTTACTCATAATCTTTGAAAATTTCATCAGTGATCTCGCAATGAAAGACCTCATCGTCATCCCTGAGGTACTCCGACGCCTTTGATTTCTCAAATGCTTTCCTTTTTAACAGAGGCATGTTGTGAGTTCGCGGGTCACCACGGTGGGAAAACGATTTTCAGTCCGTTTCAATTAATCACTTGTATTCAATACCACTTAACTTTGTACGGCGCATCTATCCCCACGTTCCATTGAATAACACATTAGGAAATTGATAGATTTTACAAAATATTTCCAGAGAAAAATGTTGCGTGGTTTCGGTTGACAAGCCAAAAAACGGCGCGCTGAGGCGCTTCTTTTTACGCCAGAAACATATGAACTGGGTTAACACACCATACCGGTTTCTACTAAAATGGTAGAAATGATTTCTACCTATAATCGATTCATCAGTTTCATTTATGTACAACTACAAATAGATATATTTATGGCTCCGTCCCATAGGCTATGATCCTCATAGTACAGAATGTGATTTTAGGGCATAAACAAAGAGAAAATTAATATTATGCAGTTACTAGAAAAATAAATCGATTGCTTTTTGCAGAACTTCACGAGACAAAAATATGAGTTTATGTATGTACTTTATCTTTAAAACCCCTGAATCTCTTTGATTGAAATTCAGGACGTTAATAGTTTAATTTGAGACCCAGGAAAAGATGTCTAAAAGGTTTCAACCTGGAAATCCCACGAGCCCGGAATTTTGAGTTAAAATGACAGGACTCTACTTTTAAACTAATGAACCTATTTAATTAAGTAAGTAAAATGCGTTACAACGATAGTTTGAGACCTAGAAAACGACATACTGTACATGTTTTTTTTACGGAATTCCTACGGCAACGGGACTTAAGTTTTTAAGTCATTATCTTAAATTCATTATCTTAAATTCAAATCAACTACTATATTACGTTCCACCATGTTTTACTTAGGTGGTAACATAGACTAATACAGATCATTGTGGACCCTGTCGGTCACAGTAATGAAATATATAATTTTAATACAAAAGATGACAAACTAGCATTACAGAATCAATACTAACATTTTGATATGAAAAACAAAAAAGACTGCCTCGTTGGCCGAGAGGTTGCAAGTGCGACTGCAAGGGGTCTCGGGTTCGATTCCTGGGTCGGGTAAAGTATTACTGGGTTTTTAAAAAATTCTCAGTAGTAGCACGGAGTCTGGAATTGTGCCCGGTATATGGCAATAGGCTCACCTATTACATGGGACTCATAACATAAATAGTGAAAAGTGGGTGTTACATTGTGCAGTGGCATTTTTTTTTTAAGGGAGGAAAATCATCGAATGACTGCTCCCGCCTGGGTGAGGCGGAAGGGAGTGTCAGACTCTTACTGACTAAAAACCACCCCGTTCCTTCTCTTGCACGTCGAGCCGGAGCCCCGGTTACCCGTTAGGTTCTCCAGCAGTGGCATAATGTGCACCTGTCACCTCTGCCTACCCCTTCGGGGAAAAAGGAAAGGAAAGAAAGGAAAAAGACCAATTAATATTATCAATTGACAAACAAGAAAACAAAATATATAAATTTCCCTTGGCAGTTTATTGTATATCTTTATATAGACATTACCATGTATTTAGCAAAGACTAATTCAAAAGGCCAATTTCTGCTAGAAGACATTATTTTACGCGGACGAAGTCGCGAGTAATAGCTAGCATATGAATAAAAAAATAAATGTTATTCAATAAAAAAAAATATAGCTAATTATTTTTCAGATAATTTAAAATAAATATTTTATTGTAAGAAGCAGGTTCAACTATTTAAGAACTTTGATAAGAATAAGATTTTCGATGCCATAAGTTAGTTCTTTTCTTTCCCTTTTTTATTGTTAATGTTTACTTATTAGACAAAAATTTACCTTTAAGTTGTAAATATTTTCGTTATTATTTCAGTTAAAATTTTTTGAATAGGTATTTAGTTCTATTTAGTATTTAAAAAATAATTTCCTCCTTTGGGTAAAACATTGGTATCCCTTAAACGGTAGGTAACTTCGTTTAGCAATATGGTATCACTAAATAAAAATTCATTCAAGCAATCATTCGCATGGTATTTTAATAACTTTTGATAATTTTGTTACCTATTATTGGTCGCAGTGAACGCAGTTTTTTAATTCTGTCAAAAAGTAATTTGCGGTTTATGTTAAGATTATTGTTTTGTGTGATTATTAATGTAAAGCTGCAGTAATAAAGTTGAATTAATGTTACACGGTGTTCTTTAAATTTATTCAAGATGCCGAAGGAACAATATCGCGAAACTTATATTGGGCGAAAAATGTAAGCGAGGTTATGTTTACTACATCATATGGTATTTTATGCTATGAAAATGAATTGATTTCTTGTGAAAATATACTAGTTTTAGTAGTTTTAACTCCTAATTCGATTGCTTAATATGTGTAATTTAGTTAAATGTTGTTTATTTTGTGTGAAAAGTGGTATATTTTAGTAAATTTTGTGTTCGACAGTTCGCATGTCACGTTCAATGTGGACAGCCCGGCTGCTATCCAGCAAGCTGCCCATATCCAGGTCATCACCAAGAACCTGTATGCCCAGGATGGCCAGAGGGTGCCGGCGACTAATGGTGTACTGGACAGGAGAATGGTAAGGCCAATAAACTGTTGAAGCAGTGGTTATTAAAATGCACAAATAAGTAATGTGTAAATAGAATAATAGCAAAATCGGGTCTAGTATTTGATGACAGTCATATAAAAGCAAGTAATAACAAATATTACTATGTATTTTTTATAAGTATTTTAAATTATATTTTTAAAGTTAGTACCTATACAGTACAAGTTCATATACAATAAAATAAACACAATATATCTCAGCTCACCAATGATTTTTGAAATTTTAAAATTATGTTTGAAATGAAAACAAATAACTAATTGCTTACCATCAGGCGAGATGGTAGCCAAACGCCAACCAGTTAAAAAATAAATATAATGAATAAATATTTTTGTTAGTTGTATGTTTAATTGGCCTATGCACTAAACGGGTAATATGATGTTATGTTATTCAGGGTACAAATCAGAAGGATGCCAACTGTGATACATGCGGGCTGGGCCTGGCGGAGTGTGTCGGACACTTTGGGTACATACAGCTGGCCCTGCCCGTCTTCCACATCGGATATTTCCGATCTATCATTACTATACTACAGACCATTTGCAAGGTGAGTTCCTATATTGTTACATATATAGTGTTTTGTTTCTTCATTAAAGATAATATTGTAATAAGTAGCATGATTTGATGTGGTACAGTTTGATTTTTGAATGCAGTATTTTTAGATTTCGTTATTAAATTCTGATTCTCACTCTTATTCTCCGAATTCTCATTGTCACACTCATTCTCCGTAAGTGAATTGTGTATGTGTTGGTTTATGAGAAATAAGGATATTCTTATTATTATACATATTTATTAAAGAAAAACATGATAATTTAGAAAGTTGCTTTTAAAAAGCAATAATCAACTCAAAATCGCGTGTTACTCACATGAATATACTGAGAAAAGGTCTACTACTAAATCGCAGCCCACTCAGTAGGCTTCGCAATATCGTCGCGACCGCACACGCTGCTCATGAAGAAGAACCCCTCTGTGGTTCGAAACTAGTAGAGCTTTTCTTAGTATACTCACGTGAGTAACCGGCGATTTTTAGTTAATTTAGTATGTCTCACGATAGTTATTATAAAAACAAAACAATGATCAATAAATTTATTGTATTCCACAGAATTGTTCACGAGTAATGCTACCGGCAATTCTGAGAAGGGCTTACTTGCGTAAATTCATGAATCCTGAACTGTCGTACTTGCAAAAAAAGAACCTTCGGACTGCAGTCCACAAGAAGGCGAAGGCTTGCACCAAATGCCCTAACTGTGAGACTTTGAACGGCATGGTAAAGAAGAGTCCGGCTGGCATCCTTAAAATTATCCATGACAAGTATCGTACTAAGAAGCCTACCGATGGTATTGTCAAGCGAGTGCTGAAGGACTTCCATGAAGCGAAGGAGTCTAACAAGGAGCTGACGACTATGATCAACAGCGGACTTGTTGTTGAGATGAGTCCTGTGGAGGTATGTTACTATGTTCGCAGTATATTAGGAAGTGGTATAACTTCTTTGTTAATTTGTACTTTCGGTTTATTGATCACTAAAGGTCATGATATACAGTGGCAGGTCTACTTATACTATGTGGCAATTGCATTAGATTATCGATTTTATACGAAAACAATAAAATTGAAAATTTAATAAAGGATTTTGATAGAAAACTACCAACTGGTTGACTAACACTGTACTTAAGATCAGATGATAACAATCTTAAGTTTAAAGGCTGTATTTTACCGAGACGGTATAAGCTGGTTGTGCAAGCAAGCAGACAGCAGGTAAGTAACTCTCTATAGAGATGTATACATTTTATTGGTAGCAGCGACTGGTGGCGCCGCCATAGTATACCGGTGAAAAAAAGAACTAACATTTACGAAAAAGCAACTGACACACGATTGGAGTCTTTATATCTATCGACTTAACAACGTGTATTCAATAAACCCATTTTTAACACAGGTGATGGAATTATTCTGTCGCATCCCGGACGATGACATTCCTTTGTTGGGTATGAATCCGCGCCTGACGCGGCCAGAGCACCTGATCCTGACTCGCCTGCCCGTGCCACCGCTGTGTATCCGACCAAGCGTCGTTTCTGATATCAAGGCTGGAACGTAAGTCATTATTTTGCAGACAATTTATATCTCTATATCAAATTCAGTATAGACAAAGTAACTATTAGATGTTATCGACCTGTCATTAGCCGCGGAGGAATTAACGAGTTGCCGGGGCTCCGGCTGCCTGCCAGAGTAGGAACGGGGTGGTTCTTAGTCAGTAAGAGTCTGACACTCGCTCCCGCCTCACCTGGGCGGGAGAAGTCATTGGATGATTTTCCCCCATTCTTTTTAAAGTCGTCCTATCATTATGATCAGTTTTATGTAGGTGCATTGAAGTTTTGTCCTATATGTTGTTTTGTTTTAAACTTGAATCAAACTTCTTTCATACTTACTTATGTAGATTACTTGCTCTTATATTTAATTTGTTATTTCTGACACCTAATGCTAACCGTCTGCCTAATTTAATTGAGGTTTTATGTGTAAAACAACATTTGACAACGTAATCCCAAGCTACCCTTCATTGCTTTTATAAATATATGATTGATGATTTACTAAAATGAATAAAATTCAACATGATACACTTTTACAGAAATGAAGATGACCTAACAATGAAACAGTCAGAGATTCTTTTGATAAACGACGTAATATCGCGACATATAGCTAGCGGGGGCAAGAGCGACCTGGTACAGGAGGACTGGGACTACCTTCAGCTACACGTCGCTCTTTACATCAACAGCGAAATGTCTGGCATTCCGCTGTCTATGCAGGTAATATTTGGCTAAACAACAAAGAACTATTGTGTGTAAAAAGTTTTGGTTTTCTTGGATCTGTCTTAGGCCTTTGACTACTTTAACTACAGTAAAAATCATTGAAACGCACTTTCTCAAGACGCAAATTGTAAAAATCATTCACAACTTAATAATTTTGTCTAATATTCCAAGTTAACAGACAAATATTCTTAAAATGGACCTAAACATGAGTATCATGTCCAATGGTGTTCCTCAAGGATACGTTTTCGGTCCAAAATATTTCTAAAATTGTTTTGTTTCTTTTCAGCCTAAAAAACCGGGTCGTGGTTTAGTACAGCGTTTGAAAGGCAAGCAAGGTCGTTTCCGTGGCAACCTATCAGGAAAACGAGTGGACTTCTCAAGTCGTACTGTCATTTCTCCTGATCCTAATCTTCAAATTCAAGAGGTCAGTTTTATTATTTTGTTTTATTTTGCCATCAACTTTTAAATAACACATTGATTTTGTATAAGCAAAAAACGTGAATGTAGCAAATAGACAAAACTTTATTCCATCTTTAAAAGTATACCTACATAGACAATTATATTTTTTTTATACCATAAACATACATTAGCATTACGTATTTAGTCTCTACGTTCCAGCAGAGATGGTGTAACAAGTAGCTGAATACAAAGAAATATTTTTATTATTTTGATATATCATTACAACATTTTGGAATCATACTTATAACGATAACTACAAAAATGCTGTGAACTCAAGTTTCTGCGTACAAAGGCGAGGCTATCGATATTTGATCTAACATTTTGCATTTTAAACCCTAACTCCTTGTAAATAAGCTTCAATTTCCTTTACCATTCGCAATTTTACAAAACTCATAAATTTTTAATCAATGTACGTCTGATCTCCGATTCACATTTTGCACCCTCTTTCTATGGAAATAAGTTCCAAAATCCCATACCATTCCCAGGTTGGAGTACCAGTACACGTGGCGAAGATTTTAACATACCCAGAGCGGGTGTTCCCTGCCAACCTGCTATGGCTTCGGAAGCTGGTCTGCAATGGACCTGATGTGCATCCTGGAGCCAACTATGTACAGCAAAAAGGGTTGAAGCATAAGAAGTACCTTAAATATGGTAATAGAGAGAAGATTGCGCAGGAGTTGAAGGTACTTTGTACTCTATTGTTCTTCAGTTAAAGTTGATTGTTAAGTGTTATTTCGAATTTAGGCTTTGTCTGTTTTTGTTTGAAGTGAATTGTACCTTACTTTGATTGTGTTAAAGTTGATTTTGGATTGGTTATGATATGAAATCAAACCATTGTTTTTTTTCTATTGGCAGTAGAGTATCCGGTTGTTCTAGTGGTAGCGAATTATCCAAAAAACATTTTAAATTCGGTTTTCGGATAGGACAAAGCTTGTTTTAAGGTATTTTATGAAACTAATGTATGTGTTGTAGTGTGGCGACGTGGTAGAGCGCCACCTGGTGGACGGTGACGTGGTACTGTTCAACCGCCAGCCCTCGCTACACAAGCTCTCCATCATGTGTCACCGCGCCAGGGTCCAGCCACAGAGGACCTTCAGGTATCTATCTACCTACTTACAATATTTTTTTTAATGGGATTGGTCGGCAAATGTACTGGCGGATCACCACTGGTGGTAAGCAATTAGCGCCGCCCATGGACACCCGCAACACCAGAGGAGTAACAAGTCCGTTGCCGGCCTTTTAAGGATTAGGAGGATTATTGGGGTTTGGGGAGATTGGAGTAATTGAGCCTCTGGTAACCTCACTCACACGACAAAACACAACGCAAGCATTACTTCACGTCGGTTTTCTGTGAGGCCGTGGAATCACTCCGGTCGAGCTGGCCCTTGCGTGCCGAAGCATGCCTCGCCAACACTTATAACACTTAATTTTTTTTATAAACAATATGTTAATTATTATATTTTATACGTGTGTAGATTTAACGAGTGCGTGTGTACGCCATATAACGCGGATTTCGATGGAGACGAGATGAACATGCATCTACCGCAGACTGAGGAGGCCAGGGCCGAGGCACTCATACTTATGGGGGTAAGCACATCTTATTACTTTACAGATTACAATATACAGAGTGCAATCGGAATACGTGATGATAAAAACGAGTTTTATTTAAAAAAAAGGAAGGAATTAAACATTTCTTTTATACATAACATCATCACGCCTTTTATCCCCGAAGGGGTAGGCAGAGGTGCACATTATGCCACTGTACAATGTAACACCCACTTTTCACTGTTTATGTCATGAGTCCCATGTAATAGGGGGTGAGCCTATTGCCATATACCGGGCACAATTCCAGACTCCGTGCTACTACTGAGATTTTTTTTTACAAACTCAATAATACTTTGCCCGACCCGGGAATCGAACCCGAGACCCCTTGCCCGGCAGTCGCACTTGCGACCACTCGGCCAACGAGGCAGTCTTTTATGTATTTCTTTTATGTAATTAATAATAGTTCAGTATTTTATTAATAATGGTTGTGTGTGTATATTAGTAATGTATGTAATTAGTGCATGTAAATTAGTAATAGTTCTAATCAGTCGATTACTGTTCAAGGCTGATGTTACAGAAATAACACGAAAACAGAATCGATTAAAATTTTAAAAACATAACATAACATCACTCCTTTTATCCCCGAAGAGGTAGGTAGAGGTGCACATTATGCCATAATACAATGTTACGTTGTACAGTGGCATAATGTGCACCTCTTTTCACCATTTATGTTATATGAGTCCCATGTAATAGGGGGTGAGCTTATCGCCATATACCGGGCACAATTCCAGACTCCGTGCTACTAAGGAGAATTAAAAAAAAATAAAAACAATATTTTTTTTCTGCGTTTTCAGTAGCGTTCCGTTCACACCCTGTGCTTGTCACCACCCCGACTTTCCTCCAGGGTGTCGTGAAATCTGACTAAGAGATGACATATTTAATAAAGACCGGTTTAACAATATATCGTTATCCACAGAATAAATCTAACTTGGTGACACCTCGTAACGGCGAGTTGCTGATCGCTGCGACCCAAGACTTCATCACCGGAGGGTACCTGATGACACAGAAGGATAGTTTCTTCACGAAAGATGAAGTTGGGCAACTGGCAGGGTGCCTCCTGGCCGGGACTGATGCCAACATGAGGATCGACATACCAACCCCTGCAATACTCAAACCTAAGCAACTTTGGACTGGGAAACAGATTTTTAGGTTCGTTTTTCTTATTTTATGGATTTCTATTTAAATTGACCCTTAACCGACGAGCATGCTTGAAAAGATTGATGACTGTTGATGAAGCGACAGAGGTATTTAGGAATCGTAGCAATTGGTGTTCCATAGTCTCTGTACAACCCTAATGGGAGACAGGCGTGAAGTTATGTATGTATGTATGTATTGCTATATTGAGCTGAATTAGTTTTATCTAATGACGGTGGCAAAAAAGCCGTGTGCGTCCACAAGTGGTTACCGTGGCCTGTGGACGCATGCAACACATGTGCATTGTCGACTTTTAAAAAACCTATTTAGTCCCTTTCAAAATCAAAGTCACTTATTTGAATTAGAACAAGAAGAAACTTTGAACGTCAAAACAAAATATTAAAAAAAATTACAGTCTGTCGGTCACCTTTATAATATTGTAGTAGTTTTAATTAACATAAACAAATTTGCCGCCTCTACAATTTTGAAAAGTTCCCCTCGGTTTCCATGGGATCCCGTAATCAGATCCTAACCTGATGGAAATGGGACCACCCCGGGAGTATGACCCTTCCAACAGAACAAGAAATATCAAAATCCATCCACACGCCGGAGTAATCGCGTAACATACACACTAGAAAAAACATACAACCGAATTCATAACTTCCTTTTTGGGAAGTTGGTTAAAAATACAAGCGATTGTGACGAGTGATAGTAGGCCTTAGATAAGTATAAGGATTAACGGGATTTGACTATGTTGTCTGTGTCGTGGGTATGTTTACAAACAAAAAATGTTATTCACATCACAATGTGGGTCGCTCAAGTATTATTTTATGAGAACCACGAGGCCATTGCACCGATGGTGTAATCAATGTTTAAAATTAAAATGTATTGTATTATTTCTGCCTCGTTGGCTGAGTGGTCGTAAGTGCAACTTCCGGGCAAGGGGCGACCCGGGAATCATACCCGAGTATGATTCCCGGGTCGGGCAAAGTATTACTGGGTTTTTTTTAAATATTCTCAATAATATCATGGAGTCTGGAAATGTGTCCGGTATATGGCAATAGGCTCCCCTATTACATGGGACTCATAACATAAATACTGAAAAGTGGGTGTTACATTATACAGTGGTATAATGTGCACCTCTGCCTACCCCTTCGGGGATAAAAGGCGTGATGTTATGTTATGTTTGTATTATTTCAGTCTAATAATGAAACCCAACAAGAAGTGCGAGGTGAAGGCTAACTTAGAGACCAAGGGCAAGAACTACACCGGGAACAAGGACATGTGTGTGCAGGACTCGTGTGAGTACTATAATCTACTCAGCGTATGCTATATATGACGCTAATCTTATAAGCAGGTTAACCTAATAGAGTTAATGATAGAAGATTCATCTTTTCACTTTAATCAATTGTCTATCTCTCCCTCTTCATTCTCCCTTCTCCATTCATCTCTCTTTATCTTATTTATGAATTTGCTTATATCCAGAATCTATATCAAATTGCATCTGATTGCTAATCCGTATTTCTGTGTAAATCACACATTTACAAACTAAGTCGATAAATTATCGTAATCGCGAGGTTTTGAGTTCGATTGCCCGGGTACGTTAACAGGCGAAAAGTATATGTTTCGTTTAACCTATATCTTTAGGAACTTTTAATAACTTGTGGTTCCTCCATAGACGTGATAATAAGGAACTCGGAGCTGCTGTGCGGTTCCATGGACAAGAGCACCCTGGGCTCCGGCACCAAGAATAGTATCTTCTACATCATGCTGCGGGACTGGGGCGAGGAGTATGCTGTCAGGGGGATGTGGAGGTAATGGCATTTCACTTTTTTCATACGTCGGGATTAAGAGGCGTAATATTATGTCTATCCTTACCACAGATATATTAAAGAAGGAGATATGGTGTGGAGTCAAAAATGTACGCAAAACCGGTGAAGCCACAACTGCCCCTCCATAAAACTAATTTTACACACACAGTTCAGACAAAACAATACTACGAATAAGTGCACACACGCGGCATCGATAATTCAGTAATTCAAATATAAGCCTTATTCTTTAAACGACAGCGCACATTGTCCTATGATTTACTCACACGAAAACAATCTTGTTTTGGCTTATATGTCTGCACGAAATCACTGTACAAGACGGTATTTTATCGTTGGTTGTACGATCGCGGGTGACAACAGACTAACTCGCGGTGACGGCCATGTTTTCCTACATTGAGCCGAACGCTCAAGTGCGAGCGTAACCGACACGCCCCCTTGCCACTTCTCCTTTTTTAATATTTCTGTGATCCTTACTAATATAATATTATAAATCGGAAAGCGAGTTTGTTTGTTCCGCTTTCAGGCCATAACTACTAAACCGATTGCTTTGAATTTTTGCAGATGTATAGTTAGAAGTCCGGATTAAATAATAGAATACTTTTTATCCCGGAAAAAAAATGATATTCCCGAGGGAAAACAAAAGTATTGGTATAGATGGCGCTGTGTGTATTGGTATATGTCACATTGGCTTTTTGTCCTTTAGTGACACGGGCGAAAAATAATAGAATAAAACAATATCTGTGTTTGTAGGTTAGCGCGTATGGCGTCCTTCTATATAATGAACAGAGGCTTCAGTTTCGGCATCGTCGACGTCACGCCGGGGAGGAGACTTATCGATGCCAAGAACAAATTGCTTGAGGCTGGGTAAGTGAAAATAGTGTACATGTAAACTAGTTTATCAAGGCGTCCCTTAGTACGATCTTTCCTTACATTCAACGGCCAGTTTATACCAGTCTCGCATTGCTTGATGTATACCTGTACATAAATTGTGTACTTGTCAACTAGTCAAATTCAATACTTTTTCCAACTGTCAAAAATGACACTTTTCTATGAATTTTGTATGAGATTGTGTATTGTGACGTCACGTTTTTTTAGAGGCAACAGCATATATATTTCTCAAAAAAATGTTGGAAAAGTACTAAAATTAAGTTGGTCATAAAATCAATTAATGAAAGTGTGTTATATTTTTAAATATTTTATTGTATTGAACAGTCGAAATCATTTTCTTATTCAGCCAATCGCTGCTTCCATTACATAATCAAAATAATGAATGAATTAAGATGACGATGGCCGATTGTAAAGGATTTCTTTGCGGGCAAATATATCGCATTGCATTTTTAAATATTGGTTATTTGTGCAGGTACTCAAAGTGCGATGGTTACATCCTGGAGATGGAGAAGGGCACGCTGCAGTGTCAGCCCGGCTGCACCATGGAGGAGACACTCGAGGCTGTCATGCTCAGCGAGCTCAGCAGCATCAGGTCTGTGACTACCATTTTGACTGCGCGGTGGCTGGGGAACTGGCTGGCGCGCAACGTATCACGGGTTCGAATCCCGCACGGAACAATTTTGTGTGTTATCCACAGAATGTTGTTTCGCACGATTAGAATTTTGGTGTTAGAAAATATTATAGCAGAATAATTCTTTTATAAATTACATTCCAAAAAACTTCAAACTCCTCTTTTTTGAAGTCGGCTAATTATAAATACGCTAAATCCTTCTCCCAAGTGTAACAAACATTTTTCTGAAAACCGCATCATAATCGGTTCAGCCATTTGCGAGATAATCATAGACATACGTACATGTATACAGGTCAAACAACAAACCTCATATTTGTTGAAGTCGGTTAAAAACTAACGCGTCTATCATTTCATATTATTCCTTATTTTTTATAATAACTATCGTGAGACATACTAAATTAAGTAAAAACGCGGGTTACTCGCGTGAATATACTGAGAAAAGCTCTACTAGTTTCGAACCACAGAGGGGTTCTTCCTCATGAGCAGCGTGCGCGGTCGCGGCGACGACGCGCAGCTCACTTTCCTCAGTATATTCACGTGAGTAACCCGCGTTTTTACTTAATTCCTTATTTTATTTGAAGTTATCATGTCCCACCACAGAGAGTTAGCAGCGAAGGCGTGTTTCCGCGAGCTACACCCCAGCAACGCGCCGCTTGTCATGGCACAGAGCGGCTCCAAAGGTTTGGCATTCTGTTTTAATATACAAATATATAAAGTGTGGGAGAGCCATGCTTCGGCACGAACGGCAACGCTTGCGTTGTGTTTCGTCGTGTCTCACCTCACTTACACGACGAAACACAACGTAAGCGTTGTTTCACGTCGGTTTTCTGCTCGGCCGTGGTATCACTCCGGTCGAGCCGGCCCATTCGTGCCGAAGCATGGCTCTCACACACTTAAAAAATCTGTTGCTTTGATAAGTCTCCATCCTCTTCTTTAATGTATCGATAAATATTTTTAACAATACTTATGTAATATTGTTTGCACCCTCAGGTTCGAACATCAACATATCGCAGATGATCGCGTGCGTGGGTCAGCAGGCGCTGAACGGGAAGCGAGTACCCAACGGGTTCGAAGACAGGTCGCTACCACATTTTGAGAGGCATTGTAAGTATCTTATATTTTGTTTTATGGATCACCTGATGGTTATAAAATGACGCCGCTCATGGATCTTCCAACAGTAGAGGAATTACAATTGCATGGTCGGCTTTTAGGGAACTTGAACGCCCCGCTCCGCGTCAGTGGAAACACAGCCTTAGGGCGAAAAATAAGATAAATGTAATAATTGTTTTTCTGGGTGGTCTAGCATAATGTTTATATGATTGTCAAGAGTCTTATGTCGGAATACTCAAACGCTACTCAATTTTAAGTCGTGCTTAAGTATAGTTCTGTCTCTACAAATTCTTTGTAAAATGACAGAGATGGCACGATATTTAAGCACGACTTAAAATTGAGTAACATTTCAGTATGCCGGCACTAGTCTTAGTAATTTATATTTATTGTCAATATTTTTATCGAATTGCTAAAATACAATTTCCTTCCATCCCCTTTTAGCCAAGATTCCAGCGGCGCGTGGTTTCGTAGAGAACAGTTTCTACTCGGGCCTCACTCCGACGGAGTTCTTCTTCCACACGATGGGAGGGCGCGAGGGTCTCGTCGACACTGCTGTCAAAACTGCCGAGACTGGGTACCTGCAGCGACGACTGGTCAAGGTATGTGGCTACTGTATATTTGCTCACCAGGTGGCGCTGGCGTGCCACTAGAGAGAGTCGGCTAGTAGAGAATTAGCTAGTGTCACGCCATTGCATTCAATATTTGACAGCTCACAGCATCTGTCGACTAAACCCTCTTGCTATATAACCATTGAGGTTTTGGAGATTTAGCAGGCAACGTAGAACCAAAACTACAGAAAAAACAAATTATAATTTTTCATTCGCGAAATTATTTCCAAGCTGGGAACGAATGGAATATTGTTTGTGTAGAGCTAAATGTTTTGACTGTCTGTTTGTTTGCATAAATCTCTGGCAGTAGTCCAATCCGATTTGAATATACATTTTTGCATCAAGCCTATTTAATAAGCTAGAGTGACAGGTAGGAAGAAGAGAGAGTTAGAGTGTCATAGTCATTGGATGGTATTATGAAGTCTGACGGTGTTGTTCTCAGTCATTAGAAGACCTGGTCTTGCACTATGACATGACGGTCCGCAACGCGATGGGCGAGGTGGTGGAGTTCCGGTACGGCAGCGACGGCCTGGACCCCAGCTACATGGAGGGGAAGGATCGACCCGTGGACCTGGCCAGGGTACTCGCTGATGTACGCGCCAAGTATCTGTCTAGGTAAGAGTCGCAGATTTTTTGAGTATAAATATTTTTTAGTGTTTGGGGTAGTTTTCTCAGTCTAAAACTAATTGTTTAAACTTTTCCCCTACAGTAAAATTATGCTACTTGACGCAAATAACTATTACGTGTTAAACCGTCCAGCGTCCGCGTTCCTTATGATCCAACGGGTGCACACGTGACATTTGGAGAAAGAAAGAAAGAAAGAAAATGCATTTATTTAGCCATTGGCACACGAAAACAAGGATCATTGTAATATAAATAAAAAATGCAGTCAAAATAAAAACAAAACATTAATAATAGATTTTATAAAAGAGAAAGCAGCATGGAGCATTTTTTTTTATGATCCACCGGGTGCTCATAAGGATGCTCGAGGGGTTAATTTGCTGTCTTGTACAAAATTGATAGAAAACTATCATTAGTAAAATGAAGTGAAGTGAATGACGAAATGTAATGAAGTCGTGCTGGGAATAATTCAGTTCGCGCGTTGTATACTTTCTTACTTTATTTTTTTTTCCAAAATGCTTTCTCTTTTAAGTTTAAAAATAGACAGGTGTTTTTCAAAAGGAAGGCCTTCCTTTATTCTCCTGCGTCATGCGTGCGTTTTCAAACGTACATAACATTACATAACATCACGCCTTTTATCCTCGAAGGGGTAGGCATCCACTTTTCACTATTTATGTTATGAGTCCCATGTAATAGGGGGTGAGCCTATTGCCATATACCGGTCACAATTCCAGACTCCGTGCTACTATTGAGATTTTTTTTAAAACCCAGTAATACTTTGCGCGACCCGGGAATCGAACCCGAGACGCCTTGCCCGACAGTCGCGCTTGCGCCCACTCGGCCAACGAGGCAGTCAGGCAGAAACGTACAATTTTAACATACATACGCGCGTGGTTTTTATTTTTCATGAAGTACATTTCCGTTTTCCCGTTCATCATGACGAGTCGTTATAAAATCTCCAATGAATTATTTCAAGTATTGAATGTATATGTTGGTTCTGTATCCAGGGACGAGGATCCCCTGGACGGCGACGGCATCGAGCTGGCTGCGGCGGAGACACTAGCGCTAGATGACTTCAAAACCTGCACACAGGAGTTCAAAAACGAGTTGCTGTGAGTTATTGATCGTTATTATTTATTGATGGCGGTGAATGTAGTGTCATCGGCCTCGTATAGTTTTTTTTTTAAATTGACGTGTAAAAGTGCTGCTATGTAGCCTATTTGCAAGTATAAATTCACTTGTTTCACTTGGTGGCATGGTGGCCCGGAGGTTTAAGACTCTCGCTTCTCATGCATAAGGGTGCGGGCTCGAAACCGGCTAGTACCAATGTGACTTTTTCTGAGTTATATTTACTTTCTAAGATTATCTAGACACCACTAACAAACGGTGAAGGAAGACATCGTTAGGAAACCTGGGCTTATAATTTCTAATTATAAGTTTGTAATCGCCAACCCGCATTGAGCAAGCGTGGTGATTAATGCTCAAACCTTCTCCGTGTGAGAAGAGGCTTTGCTCAGCAGTGGCATTTATAGGCTGTTGATGATGATAATGACGTGGTGGAGTGGTGATGATAATGCTGGTGGGTAATGGGGACGATGCTGGTGGGTAATGGGGACGATGCTGGTGGGCGATGATGATCGTAGTGAGTGGATGATAATTGCGATGTCCTCCGGTAGCATGTCAATGCTACGACACTCATGTCCAAATACTCAAGTGGTACTCGATTTTAAGTCACGCTTAAGTATAGTTAGGTAGCCTTACAGTATTTGGCCGTTAGTTGTGTGAATATGTACCATACCATATAGGTGTTAGTGATGGGTTGGTGCGCACTACCGCGCTGCGTGGCAGTCATTTGTCGACTGACTGTACAGAAGTACCCGCGCTATATTTACTATCTACGCAATATTACAGTTGTCACTAGATATGACGGTATTGCAGAATATACGACTACCTGCATATACTTATGCAGGTACTCGTATGTTCTTCAAATAATCACTACTCGTGTTATGATCATTGTATCCATATTCATAATTAATACTAGTGGTGATTATTGTGATGATGATATTGATGATGATAGTGGCGGGTCATGGTGATGATGAAAGTGATGATAGCAAAGTGATGACGATGGATAATGATGAGGGCAGTGCTGGGTGACGATGATAAATTGGGATGCTGACAGGGTATGAAAATTAAAAATATAATTAATCCGTCAGTTAGGTAATGAAAAATATTAGACACGTATTTTTTATTTTGTTGTATAATAAAACAATACTTAGATAAAACGAATCAAAGTTTAGTTGGGTTGGGGCTAAAACGTCATTTCTACGTATAAAATGTACACAGAAGTGACGTCACACGACATTTCAAATCAATATATCGTCGAAAGTATTCGTTTCTGTAAGAAAATAAAAAATACGTGTCTAATGATTTAAAATAATCTACCAGACGGACATTAAAATAAAAATTAGTGATCTACCCTATTGATGACCGTGTAGGAGAGGCGACGAGAATAACATTCGAGGTGATATATTATTGCAGAACATTCTTGAAGTCCATAGCAGCGAAGGTCCGCAAGCTCCGCGCGCGCTACGCCGGCTGCGGTCCGCTGGTGAAGCAGCTGGAGCGCCTGACGCTGACGCAGCTGGTGCAGTTCCTGCGCGTCTGCCACCACAAGTACCAGCGCAGTGTCATCGAACCCGGGACCGCCGTCGGGGCGCTCGCTGCGCAGGTACGTTTCATACAATAACTACTTGACTTGACTGCACGGTTGGCGCGGTGGTTGGGCTACTGACTGCCGCGCAACGTGTCCCGCACGGAACAACTCTTTGTTTAATCCACAGTTCGTTGTTCCGGGTCTGGGTGTCATGTGTATGTGAACTTGTATGTTTGTAAACGCACCCATGACACAGGAGACAATCCAAGTGTGGGGCAACGTTTAAAAAAAAAAGTAAAACGAAAGTTCTCGTGTCGAGAATAATTTTACATTATTGAGATATTAAACCGAGAAATTAATTAACTAAATATATAGGTGAACTCACAGGTCTAGTAGTTACAGAGGAACCCCTCCTCATGAGCAACATGCAACAGCAAATATTGATACCTACATTCAATACCGCGTTGTGTTACAATGTACAGTAATAATAATATAATAAGAATAAACAAATAAATGATTGGAGAGGCCTATGTCCAGCAGTGGACGAATATGGGTTGATGATGATTGTTATGTTGGTGGATTGATAATTAAACCGTCAAACACCGCGCGGACACCGGTGACCGCAACCTATTGTTATTTAATTGTATCTATAATGACGGTACTCGACGAGTTAATAGTCTGATTTATTTTACTTGGATTAATAGAATAATGTGCAGAGCGCACGACGTGTACACACAACTGAGTTACATTTATGTACGAGTGTCCTACCTTATATGTATAACACATAGTAAGGGGGCCACTACTTACTAAATAGTGATGTTAATACAGACTAATACATACATGTAACAATGATGATGATGATGAAGAATAAAATCAAAGTCAAAGTCAAAAGTCAAAGCATTTATTTCAATTAAACCATAATTTGGTACTTTAGAAACGTCAACAAATACAAAATAAAAAAAGCCTGTCTGTAAAAATAATCCTTATTACGAAAAATGTATACAAGTATACATTAAGTAATTAAGTCACATAATAATATCTCTTGAAGCTGTACCAATCTTACAATTACATTGTTCTTACAGAGCATAGGAGAGCCAGGTACTCAGATGACTTTGAAAACATTCCACTTCGCTGGAGTAGCCTCCATGAACATCACGCAGGGAGTGCCCAGGGTCAAGGAGATCATCAACGCATCCCGCAACATATCCACTCCCATCATCACCGCCGAGCTGATGCAGCCCACGGACCAGGAGTTTGCCAGGAGAGTCAAGGGCAGGATTGAGAAGACCACGCTAGGAGAGGTTCGTTAAATTGGAACGTAGATGTTTTTGAAAGATGTATGTCATGGATGTTAAGCTATGAAATGTAAAGCTGCTTTTGCGGGAGGGGAGGGGGGGGGGGGAGAATCGAGCGTTCTATACCGAACGTTACTAGTCAAAAACCCTCTCCACTCTTGATTCGCATCGCACGGCATTGAAAAGGATTAAGCGTCTTCAACGTTCTTTAATAGATTTTTAACTCTTTCGTTTTGTAATAAAGTCGAAAATCGTTTGTTCGGCTACTTAGTATCCCGCCAGAACTTAAGCCCTTATTTACTTGGGTTTTGAAGACATTCAGACGGCTTAGTATGAGTTTGTTTTATGTTTAACGAGAGTAAGATATTACCGCATTCGTCGGTGTGATTGGTTGGTTCATTGAAGCCCATGGCCAATCAGAGCGCCGAACGCGGCAACGTTTCCAAGTCGTAGACTGAACTCGTTAAGCCTTCATAGTCTAAGAGTTACTGAACTCTCGAAATAAATTTCGTTATTTACACCCTGAATGTACTATGACTGAGACTACACACAGGCTACGTATTCAGTATAAACTGAGAGTTGGATGCGCGAATAGCAAATACAATGCGAGAGCATTTTAAACTGGTTTTGTATAAAAGGTTGTGTTTTTAATAGTAAGCAATCGGCGTCGCCCATGGAGACCTGACATACAAGAGAACACAAGTGTGTTACCGGCCTTTTGGGAATTGAGGATTGTGATTGATGTAATTAGCCTACCGATAACCTCACTCAAACTACCAAACACAACGCAAGCGTTGTTTCACGTCGGTTTTCTGTGAGGCCCTAGTGTCACTCGTGGTAGATGATAATGTGCAGGCCTGGTGACTGCCAGATCGTTTTGATTGGCTTTAGCATGTACAGTAGCTCTTAGACTATTAGAAAACACAGACTCGGGTATTTTTTAGGGGGGATAATCATCGAATTACTTCTCCCGCTAGGGCGAGGCGGGAGGGAGTGTCAGACTCTTACTGACCAAAAACCACCCCATTCCTACTCCTGCACTTCGAGCCGGAGCCCCCGGTAACCCGTTAAGTTCTCCGCAGCTGCGTATACAGACCCTGGCAGAGAATGAAGTATTTATAACCCTGTAATGTCCTCAGATCACGACATACATAGACGAGATGTACCTGGCCAACGAGTGCTTCCTGCTCGTCCGCCTGGACGCCGAGAGGATCCGACTGCTGTGTCTAGAAGTCAACGTCGAGTCCATCGTGTACTCGTAAGTAAACACTGTTTTATACAAGAATTTTGGAAATCTTGTACTCAGCATAGACTGAGTACACGTGTAACACTAGACTATCTGCTTACAATGAAGCGGTTTAGGGAACAGCGAGTATAAGATCGAAGAAGGAGGATCCTCCGACCAGGTGAGGTGATCCTGCCTTTCTGCCCACCAGTTGTTCGTGGGGATTTTCTATCAGTGTTAATTCGCATGTAAACTACATGTGCGATTTAGGGGTTTTTATGACGTCATCCGTTGATTTGCTTCTATAAATATTCTTTATACAAGCAGTATAAAGAATATATATAAAAAAAAACATTTATTTCAATTACGCTTACGACTCACATGACTCGACTAATTTCGAGCTACAATAGGGGCTCATAAATAAATCAACTATTGAAAAATTACAATTTTTTCACCAGAATATGCACATCGAAGCTCAAAATAAAGCCGGCGAACATCCACATAGTATCAGACTGGGCTATAAAGGTATCAGCCGAGCCGAGCAAGCAGGGCGGCTGGCTGAACCTGTCGCTGCAGCAGTTGGCGCGCCAGCTGCCGGCTGTCGTCGTCAAAGGCCTGCCGCAGGTCGCCAGGGCTGTCATCGCCTGCAATGATACTGATACTGTACCCACGTAAGTATCTCATAATAATAGAATATAAACTTTAAAATACAATTGTTAACAAAGCTGCCTTTACGTTTGCTAAAGGTAAACTGCCGCTTGCTCCTGACGTTTTTTTTTGGTTTTAAAAAAAAAAATGTTGCCCTACACTAGGTTTTTCTTCTGTGTCGAAACAACTTCCGGACCGCGACCGTAACCGCGCTGTAACTGTGATATTCAAATCACTTGCATTATGTTCTGAATTTTCTTGTTAAACAAGTATACTTATGTTAAACTAGCTGTTGCATGCGACTCTGTCCGCGTAGAATATGAATTTTAGAACATAAATTTTTGTTCCAATTTTCCAAAATAAAAGTAGGCTATGTCCCTCCTTAGTACATTAGCTACCTGCCAATAACAGCTTTGTAAAATCGGTTCTACCATTTCAGAGATTAGTCTATACAAACAGACCGACAAAAAATGTAAAGAAATATATTTTGGTATGTGTATCGTATGTACATATACTCATATGCATATAGTAAAAGCGGTTATTTTATTAAAAACAGACACTCCCAATTTTATTTATCTGTATAGATTAATGTAATCAAATATATTTTGAATTAAAAATTGTTTTCATTATAGTTACAAGCTGTGCGTGGAAGGAGACGGACTGCGTGACGTCATCGCCACGTACGGAGTCGATGGCACCAAGACCACCTCCAACAATATACTCGAGGTAACACTATGTTCATTACTAATTAATTGGGTACTTGCAAATTCAATACTTTTTTCGAACTATCAAGAAAGACAGTTTTCTATGAATTTTGTACGATATTGTGTATTGTGACGTCACGTTTTTTAGCGTCAAACAGCTCACTTATTTCTCAAAAATTTGCTTGAAATATAAATTAAGTTGGTCATAAAATCAATTAATGAAAGAGTGATTCTTTATTTATGTCAAAAATATGCTTGAAATATAGATTAAGTTGGTCATAAAATCAATTAATGAAAGAGTGTTTCTTTATTTATATTTTACTAGCTTTTACCCCCGGCTTCGCTCGCGTCACAAAAAGATAAAAAGTAGCCTATGTGACGTATACCAATACACACAGCTCCATCTATACCAATATTTTTGTTTTTCCTCGGGAATATCAAATTTTTCCGGGTTAAAAAGTACCCTATTATTTAATCCGGACGGCGTGAAAGTGGAACAAACAAACAAACACACTTTCCGATTTATAATATTAGTAAGGATTGTATTTAACAGTTGAAATAATTTATTTTTGATAAAGGAAAGTGCCCAATTTCTTATAAAATTAGTAGGTCAGTCCACTATTTACTTTATGACCAGTATAGTCAGTTGACGCAGCCATGCCATCGTTAGCGTTGTTCAATGCGCCTACAGTTTATGATTATGAAACCCGGTGTGTTTCGAAACTATTCGAGCATCCTCGAAAAATTTTAATTAGGTAAATTATTAATAATATTATCATTTTGTCCAGGTATTCCACACGCTAGGCATAGAGGCTGCGAAGTCTACCATCATCAGTGAGATCCAGGCCGTGATGGAAGGTCACGGTATGAGCGTGGACCGACGCCACGTGGAACTCCTGGCCGGACAGATGACTGCAAGGGGCGAAGTCTTGGGTATCACCAGATACGGCCTCGCCAGGATGAAGGAATCCGTACTTAATCTGGCTAGTGTAAGTAGTAATTTGGAATATTTCGTTTTTAATGCTGTTTTTGGCTCAGTGGTTGATTGGCAGCGCGTTGTGGGTTCGATTACCGTATCAGGTATTGAAAGATTTAGATAGTTGGGAGCACCTTAATGATTTAGTGTCTTTCAACATCATCATCATATCAGCCACAAGATGTCCAGCGCTGAACATAGGCCTCCTCCAATGACTTTTGTTTATGGAATAAGCCAGGCAGACGGATCACCTGATGGTTAGCAATCGTCGCCCATGTACACTTGGAACACCAGAGGCGTTACAAGTGTGTTACCGGCCTTTTGAGGATTAGTAATTTGAGAATTTTTGGAGGTTCAGGGATTGGGGAGATTGGGGAAAAGAGTGGGGGTAATTGGGCCTCCGGTAACCTCACTTAACACGACGAAACATAACATAAGCGTTGTTTTACGTCGGTTTTCTGTGAGCCCGTGGTATCACGCCGGTCGAGCCGGGCTATTCGAGGCAGTTATATAAAATAGGCCAGTAAACTTCCATATAGGCCGATTGGAAGCGACTGGCATCCTGCGGTTCCCTGCGACCTTCATACTAGTTTTTACCACTGAATAATTTGAAACCTAATTGTAAAAAAACAAAACTAAATTTCTTACCTGACTGAAATCGAAATGTTATCGCGTTTAGCTCTCTAATTGGTTGGTTCATTGTAGCTGGCCAATCAGAGCGCCGAACGTCATAAATGCGTTGAAGACGTTAAATGTTAAAACTATTCGTGCTATTATTAACTATTATTAATTTTCGTAATTATTAATTTTCGTGCTATTAATTTACTATTATTAATTTTCGTGCTATTATTAACTATTTAAGCTCCCAGCAGAATAGGGTCGTTTCCTAAATTTTATTTTAACGTCCGTCCGATACATTAATTTAAACTTAAAACACGTAAAGTACGTGTCTAAAGTTCTTTTCTCACAAAATTAATACTTTCAACGATATATTAATTTGAAATATCGTGTGACGTCACAGCGTGCCACATTTTGTAGCACGTTATGACGTAACAACCTCCCACTCATAAACTTAGCGCCATTTTATCTAAATATTGCAACTTAATACGAGAAAATAAAAAAATACGTGTCCAATATTATCTAACTGACGGACTAATTAGATTTTTAATTTTGATACATTGCTAACTACCCAATTACAAGAATATTAACTTATATATTTCCAACAGTTTGAAAAAACAGCGGATCACCTATTCGACGCGGCTTACTACGGCCAGACAGATTGTATAGAGGGGGTCTCAGAGTCCATCATACTCGGGGTCCCAGCGGCCATCGGGACCGGAGTCCTGCAGCTCCTGCACCAGCATCCGAGGGCAGAGCCCCCGCAACCCCGGGAACTACTCTTCGACAGACCAGAGCTCCACTCCTCGATATGGGAATAACCCATAATCCCTGGCCGTAGACGCAGTTCTTCGACCAGAGTTCCCGTCAAGAAGTAACTTAAATTTGTACTTTCTTGGCTTGTGTATAAGACTGGAAATCATTTGATTGTTTGTTGTGTTAGTATTTGATTGTGTGCTTTTTTACGCAGCTCTTACAGTTAGGAACCGGATTAGGAGATTCTTAAATACTTATTTTGTGATGATAACAAGTGTTTAATCTTTATAGAAAATTTAACAATAAAAGTATATCAAACTCTACAATACATAAAATATTCATTTTAAATATATATTTTTTCTTTTTACTCCGTCCGGTTTTCTTTTTCTATCTCACAATCCGCCATCTTACAAAATGGCGGTTTTCTCAAACCCTAAGATGACGTTACTGTCTCATTAAAATGTTCAAATGATTTAACTCAAATAATGACATTGTATATAAAGTATATTAATTTTAAGTTGTGCTGTAATGTTAATTATTAGTATCGTAACTTTAAACTTAACAGTGGATATATTTAATTAGTTTGCAAAGCTGGCAACACTGCCGATATTGCCAGCCTTAATAAATAAATGTTATTTTACTTTTTCTGTACTGTATATATGTATTATATAGTTGTTATTGGAAAAAGTAAAAGCAAGGTCGGATCTAGGATATATTCAGGATATTTCAGGATCATTATAGGATACTTTAATACATTCGTTACAGAATACATTCTATGAACAAAAATTTTAGTTTTATAATTTCATACATAAAAAATCATAGAGAATTTTCGATTTTGAAAATATATTTAATTGGCTCTCCTTGATCCGTAGTTTTAAAGTGTTTTTTCATTAAAGTTTAATATCGTTTGCTGTTGTACAGACACTAGAAGCCAACTACTATTGTTCGTTAACACATTTTGAACTTTATCACAGAAGCATAAGGTTGTAAATCAGTAAAAAAAGCTTGATAGTTGATAGTATGTTTATCTATAAGTTTGTAATATTGACTGTTATGTTTTAAATTGTAAATATTTAGTGTTAGAAGTGTAAGAAATTATTGTTCCTGCTTAGCTCCCTTAGACAAATGTTAAGACTCGAATCTTGGACTTGGCTTAAAAGATTTGATTTAGAGTTGACAAAATATACCCTGAACATGTTTTTACAATAATAAATTTTAAATATAACATTTCTTGTTTTATTGTCTTATACGCCATGCTTCGACACGAATGGGCTGGCTCGACCGAAGCGATACCACGGCCCAACAGAAAAACAACGTGGAACAACGCTTGTATGTCTATACTAGCTGTTGCCCGCGACTTCGTCCGCGTAGATTAATGACTTCTGACAGAATTAACCAGAATCAATTCAGTGCCCAAGTAAGATTTACCTATTTTGAAATGATTTATCGTAGTTAAAATAAATAAATAATCATTACCAGTACAGTGCCCGATCACGTAAGGTTTGAGTAATAAAACTATTCTATCGACTATTGTACCGAATCTCTCTAGAATAAGTTCAGTGGTTAAGAGTTAGAGAGTCCTGGGGCATTGACGCATAGTTCCCGTTCTCGTGAGACATCTGTGAAAAAACTATCATACGTTACCCAGGTCCTAAATCATCGTTTTACCGAATGTAATTCAAAAAGATTCAATGATTCTAAATTCAACGGCTAAGAAGATTTATACAAACTCTCATTCCCTATTTTATCCCCTTAGGGGTGGAATTTATCAAAATCCTTTCTAAAGAGATACCTATGTCATAGTAACTTTATGCATGCAAAGTCTCAGCCCGATCAATTTAAAACTGACAAAGTATCATACAAACTTTCACCCCCTATTTGACACTTTGGGGTGAGAATGTTCAAAAACCTTTCTAAAGGGACGTTTACGTCATAATATCCATCTGCACGCCGAATTTCAACCCGATCGGTGTAAAACTGACAAAGCTTCATACAAACGTTCATCCCCTATTTTACCCCCTTAGGGGTGGAAATTATCAAAATCCTTTCTTAGCAGATGCCTATGTGATAACATCTATCTGCATGTCAAATTACTTCAAAGCGGATGCTTACGTCATAACATCTATCTGCATGCCAAATTTCAATCCGATCGGTTTAGAACTGACAAAGTTTCATACAAACTTTCATCCCCTATTTTACCCTCTTGGGGGTGGAAATTATCAAAATCCTTTCACATCGGATGCTTACGTCATAACATCTATCTGCATGCCAAATTTCAACCCGATCAGTTAAAAACTGACAAAGTTTCATACAAACTTTCATCCCCTTTTTTACCCCCTTGGGGATGGAAATTATCAAAATCCTTCCACATCGGATGCTTACGTCATAACATCTATCTGCATGCCAAATTACAACCCGATCGGTTTAAAACTGACAAAGTCTCATACAAACTTTCATCCCCTATTTTACCCCCATTGGGGGTAGAAATTATCAAAATCCTTTCACATCGGATGCTTACGTCATAACATCTATCTGCATGCCAAATTACAACCCGATCGGTTTAAAACTGACAAAGTCTCATACAAACTTTCATCCCCTATTTTACCCCCTTGGGGGTGAAAATTATCAAAATCCTTTCACATCGGATGCTTACGTCATAACATCTATCTGCATGCCAAATTTCAACCCGATCAGTTAAAAACTGACAAAGTTTCATACAAACTTTCACCCCCTTTTTTACCCCCTTGGGGGTGGAAATTATCAAAATCCTTTCTTAGCGGATGCCTACGTTATAATATCTATCAGTATGCCAAATTTTAGCCCAATCTGTCCAGCGGTTTGGGCTGTGCGTTGATAGATCACTATGTCAGTCAGTCAGTCAGTCAATCACCTTTGAATTTTATATATATAGATTATAACTTTCGTGAGCCATACTAAATTAAATATTACGTTTGGACTTCCTCACTTAACTGTTTGACGGGGAACTCGACTAGTTTCAAGCCATGCTAGAGGCTCATAATCGTGAGCAGTCTTCCGCGGCACGCGCTACTGTCGGTAACGCGACTTATGTAAGTAAGCGGAAAACATAATAATTGGCTTGTATGTCTAATAAAAATAAACAATCATCACACATAAACAGAATATAAATCCTCCCTGCTGACCAAAGGCCTCTTCTCACACGGAGAAGATTTGAGCATTAAACTGTCAAACACCAAGCGGTCACCGGTGACCGCGACCTATTGTTCTTTAATTGTGTCTATAAAACCGGTACTCGACGAGTTAATCGCCACGCTTGCTCAATGCGGGTTGGCGATTTCTAACTTATAATTGGGAATTAAGACAACCAATGTATTTCTACAATTTATTAACAATAGAACTAAAAACTAAATAACATATTAAATGCTTTTACAGTTTCATTCACTCCATACATCTAATAGTAATACAGCAAGTCTTAGTCATTATGTCTGTCTGTGTGTCTCACTATCATTAAAACTTGTTTTAGGGGTGCTCTTTAAAAAATATAGTAAAATTACGATAATATGGTCAACAAAGAATTCTTATAATTTTAGTAACTTTAATCATACACAATATTAGTTAGTTACTTGAGAACAATGACACGGTTTAAGTTTTAACTTTGCATTGTGAATGTCTTGTTAAATATTCCCAAGTTATACAATCAATAGACACATTTCAAAGAATTAGAAGAACTGTGAAACATTCATAGTAATTCCTTCGATAATAAATTTATCTGGCGTTGGGAAAGTCAGCGTTTAAAGAGTCACCCAAAGCTGAGACGTAAGCTGACATTTTAGAATTGAATGTTTAATTGTATTATTCGAGATTTATGTATGACGTATCACGCAGCTTTGGCTTGCGCAAGCGCAGCTTTGTGTTGGTCGAGTTTGGTCCACTTTTCGCTCACCTTCCACAACCAGCTCGCCAGCTCGTAGTCTTGCGCCAGCTTTGAAGGCTCCTTCTTCTTCATGTCACTGCAAAAATGACATATTTTGCATAAATTATTACTATTGCTATTTATTACTATTGTTTGTTGCTCAGAGTTAACATAAGAAGACTGACTGACTGCACCTTTGGCGCGGTGGCTGGGCAACCGGCTGCCGTGCAACGTGTCGCGGGTTCGATTCCCGCACGGGACAACAATTTGTGTGATCCACAAATTGTTGTTTCGGGTCTGGGTGTCATTGTGTTATGTGAACTTGTATGTAAAGGCACCCACGACACAGGAGAAAATACTAGTGTGGGGCTACGGTTTAAAAAAAAAAAAATAAGAAGAAGTGATAAATAGATATATATAATAAGAAGCATAGTGCAGGTGCGGTTCTTGGGTCGATCTATTAGGTCAATTTCTTTATTTCGAATATTCTAGTTCATCCATTTGGATAGAAGTGTAGGTACATAAGGTCCACCCCTTATTGTATATTTACAAGGAATGGCCTATGATATAATATTATTGTAATACACGTTTTTACAAATATATAAATGTATATATAACAATATTGGGAAATGAAAAAGTTGTCCAGAGATTTCTATAATTCTTTCACTAACTACGTTTACAAAAACCGACTTAAAACCCTTCCTTTTTAAGTCGGTTAATTAATGTACTAAAACATTCTTCTAAGTGTAATACTTTTATGAAAACCGCATCAAAATTGGTCCAGCTAATCACGAGATAGTCGCGCACAAACATATACACATACAGGTTAACTGAGAACCTCCTTGTTTTTGAAGTCGGATAAAAATCATTTCAAAATTGGTACTTACACATAATAATCCCCTGAACAGTCACTGAGCGCTGGATCTAGGGCGGCGTGGACGATGACCTGACTGCCGATCTTGGAGGACTTCATAAAGGGCCAGAACATTGGGTACACTATGAAGCGGGAGACGCTCTTCATCACCGACATGTGGCGGGTTATGTTGGTGTCTGTCAGGCCTGGGTCCACCGCCACTACTGACACTCCTGTACCTGGGGATTAGGGCGGAGAAGTAAGTAAAAGATTACAATTCCAAAACATGTAGGCATCCATGACTTTGGTGTCAAACTCATATTGATTCTTATCATACATAACATAACAACACGCCTTTTATCCCCGAAGGAGTAGACAAAGGTGCATATAACGGCACTTAATGCCACTGTACAATTTAACACCCACTTTTCACTATTTATGTTATGACCCATGTAATAGGTGGTAAGCCTATTGCCATATACCGGACAGATTTACAGACTCCGTGCTACCACTGTTTTTTTTAATCTAGTAATACTTTGCCCGACCCGGGAATCGAACCCGAGACCCCTTGCCCGGCAGTCGCACTTGCAAACACTCGGCCAACGAGGCAGTCTTGTTATCAATTCTATTCTATTGTAGCTACTCCTAATCTAAACAATTTATTATATGTATTGAAATTGGACGTTTGTAGACGCATCCACGACACAGAGGGAAATGCTTTTGTGAGCTGCACTCGGCTACTTCTACTCCTACTTCTACTCCTATTTGTTCTCCTACTTCTATTTCTTCTACTCCTACTTTTTCTCCTACTTCTACTCCTTCTTCTATTAGATCATAGCGTCCTATTTTTTAGCCTATAGTTTTCCTTGATAAATAGACAAAACTAATTTTTCGTTTTGTTCGTTCTCCCCGCAACTACTGGGAGTTCCTTAATAAAGTAAGAACAGAATAAATAGTTACCCAACAGCCTCCTGCCAAGTTCTCTAACAAACAGTAGGTTGGCGAGCTTGCTCTGCGCGTACGCAGCCGGCGCGTCGTACTTCTTTGCGAAGTTGAGATCATCCTTGTTGATCTGTCCGCGTTGGTGTACACTGCCTGTCACTGTGATCACTCGGCTTGGAGCTGACTCCTAGGGAGGGCGTAATAAGTATTTTTTAAAATTTTACATTTAAACAGTCTCGTCAGACAAGATTGAAAACAATAGAAAACATAATGATGAGGATATAAGTGTAATAATCAAGGGCGTAGCTAGCGCCGTATTTAACATATCAAATATAGCATGGTTACTGGTGTATGGCAATAACAATGCCCTCTACTACATGAGACTAGCTAAATGTGAACTTTACGCAGTATTATGTTACCTTGAGTGTGTCCAGTAGGAGGTTGGTGAGCAGGAAGTGTCCGAGATGGTTGACTCCGAACTGTGTCTCGAAGCCGTCCCGTGTCACGCTGGCCGGCGGCTCCATCACGCCCGCGTTGTTCACCAACACGTGTAACTGGGGCTCCTCGGACTTGAACCTGATCGGATCAGCATCAAAGGAATTAGGTCACTGAAGATTTAGAGGATACTCCTACTGATCCCTTCGTGGGTTATAACAATATTAATTACTAGCGGCCCGTCCTGGCTTCGCACGGGGCGACTTAAGATTTTTTACATAGTTTTACGTTTTATTTATATTTATTCTCAGTTTTTTTTTTAGCGACCTGCCCTCCGTTGTCGATGTCGCGTCTTAAGGTAACCGATTGAACAATTCAAAAGTTATCTAGAGCAAACTTTTATAAGGATTGAACCATTCATTAAAACGATTGTTATGGGTAAACTATAAAAGGTAGACATATGCTCTCGCGGACTTTTTTAAAAATAATGTTAAGATAAACAATTCATCTATAGAACATTTTTGTATAACTTTAACTATATGCTCAGCGCACGCCACGGAAGGCCTCAGAAACGATACTTTTCCCCCGTTTTTAAAACATTTTTGGTTACTGCTCCACAACTATAGGACCTAGCGTGATATTATATAGCCTATGTTACTTCTGAATAATGCAGCTTTCGAATGGTGAAAAAATTATTGCAATCGGTTCAGTAGTTTTTGAGTTTATTCATTACAAACATACAAAAATACAAATCTTTCCTCTTTATAATATTAGTATAGATATAGATTAATATATACCGGGGTAAAGACAAATAATTGTGTCAGTCTTGGTCCAACCTCGGCTGGATATAGACATCACCTTTTTCTGCCATAGTTAGTTCCGGGCTCTAGCATATCATACAACGCAGTTTTAGATGGTTCAGATTTATTTAGCCTTGGACATAGACAAATTACCAATTTTACTTCAAGAAGTTATCAGTCAAAACTGAAATTGACCATAATTTAGTATTGAAGAAGAGAATTATAAATCCTAAATCACCTACGATTTTATCCTACCATCTATTTTTTTATTATTAAGTATTTAAATATGATATTACCGTTCAACGAACTTCCTGATGGACTCAGTGCTGGCCATGTCACAGGGCCGGCAGTACACGAACTTGTTGCTGGACTCCAGCACGATGTTGCGTCGCACCTCCTCGCACGTTTCCATGTTGCGACATGCCATGAACACCTGCACAACAACAACATGGATACTTTATAACAGTCAGGTAAGACAGACAACGTACTATAACTATATTGTCGCGGAGAACCTAACGGGTAACCGGGGCTCCGGCTCGACGTGCAGGAGAAGGAACGGGGTGGTTTTTAGTCAGTAAGAGTCTGACACTCCCTTCCGCCTCACCCAGGCGGGAGCAGACATTCGATGATTTTCCCCCCTTAAAAAAAAAAAACTATAACTATATTAGTACTTTGTACTGAATAAATATAAGAACTGCCAGCTTCGTTGATCCAATGGCTAAAAGTTTCCGGAGCCGCGGAAGACTTAACGGGTTGGTTTTTAGTCTGTAAGAGTCTGACACTCCTTCTCGGCTCACCTAAGGTGGGAGGAGCCATTGGATGATTTTCACCCCGTAATAAAATGGCCAAAAGCTTTGATCACCGAGTAATAGATCTCAGATTAAGATCAAGAATATTTTATCACAATTTTCAAAATTCTAGCTCGAAGCCTCGAAGCCAGTATACTCATTTTACATGGGGCTCATAATTTTAGTATATTATGAGTAATTTCATAACATACCTCTAAGTATCAGAAAATGAACTATCGTTTGATTAATGAATAAGATTGCACGGTTGGTGCGGTGGCTGGGCAACCGGCTGCCGTGCAACGTGTCGCGGGTTAGATTCCCGCACGGAACACCACTTTGTGTGACCCACAAATTGTTGATCCGGGTCTGGGTGTCATGTGTATGTGAACTTGTATGTTTGTAAACGCACCCACGACACAGGAGAAAATCCTAGTGTGGGGCAACATTTAAAAAAAAAATTGCTTTCCCCTTCCAATAAATATATTATCTTACCTTAGCGCCTCGTCTAGCGAAGTCCCAGGCAGCCTCTCTGCCGATGCCGCTGGTGGCCCCCGTCACGATGACGACCTTGCCCTCAGCCTTCACATTCTTATCATAAGGAGGTCCGCCGTAGAAGTCTCTGGAATCCCACTGCAATGTTACTATCAACTAAGGAAAACGCGAGTGAAGATTCGAAAAGCACCTCACTACAAGGTATTACGTGTTGAGGTTGTATTACATAGGACCTTTAGATTACCCGATAACCTTTTTTTCAATGTCTTTGTACGATAAATTTAGATTTTGATAAACATACAAGTAGGTTATGTTAAAATTAAAGTGTTTTTGGACTTTATTATTTTCTTTACTGATAGGGGGATACAAGACTATGTTCCTAACGTCCATGGACATCACGGAGCTAGTACTTACTTGAACAAGCAGAGCCCTCCTGCCGTGGCCGCCACCGTCGACACGATCACAATTGGCATGTTCGGCACCCACATTGCTGAAGTGCTGTTGAATAACACCGGATAATATTATAAAAGAAATTGCTTTAGATTTAAGAACATGAAGACGACGGATGAAGTCATTGTATATAAAGTATTAAGGTACAGGGTGCGATGTCCCATAAGTTAGGATAACGGAAGATCCTCCGATCATAGGCTAGGTGGTCATGGCTGGCTGGTTTCTGGCTACATATCTACCCATTAGTCGTCGCGTATATATTTAGATAATAGGATGGCGTCATCAGTTAGTTGTTATCGTTGAGATTCTTGAACCAGCTACCGAGTGCCGATGCCGAGCAGTGGCATCGTCTCATATTTAATTACTAATACCTACTACGAATCTGAAGAGATTTTTGTTTAAACGCTCTATTCTCAGAATTGACTGGTTGGAATTGAATACTTCTTTTTGTGTTAGATATTCCATTTGATTTTATCTAGAGAGACTACAAAACATCACGCTACGAATGATACGATCAATAGAAGCTGAGCAGCAGGTGAAAGGGCGCGGGAGTAGCCAGTATTTTATATTATAATAACTACCTATCTGTGATCTCGAAATCGCCAGCCAAGTGTTGGGAGCAGTGGGGCAGTCTGGGCACGGCAGTGGGTGTAGGCGACTAGGTATCTACCCGGCTGATGATGATGATGTTTTTTTATGGTATAAGCCGGTAACCGAGCAAACGTATCACCTGATGGTAAGCAATCGGCGTCGCCCATGGACACCTGGAACACCAGAGGCGTTGCAACTGCGTTACCGGCCTTTTGGGATTAAAAATTTGAAGTTTTGTTGAGGATTCAGGGATTAGGGAAGGATGGGGAGGGGGAGGGGTAATTGGGCCTCCGATAACCTCACTCACACGACGAAACACAACGAAAGCGATGTTTCACGTCGGTTTTCTGTGAGGCCGTGGTGTCACTCCGGTCGAGCCGGCCCATTCGTGCCGAAGCATGACTCTCTCACAAAAATTCTATCAGGTTGTAAAGGGAACAGTAAAATGAAACAAAGTTATATATTTCTTATTTATACATATATTTAGTATTCACTTTCTTTATCTAGTAATATATTACATTTCAGTGAAAGGCTAGGTGTGAACCGTTTATATTACAAGTGCCGTTATTAGGTAGGTCGGTAGGTACATTACAAGGTAGGTACATTTCGTTATTATCTTGATAGCTTAATAAAATATGTTATTTAAATTATAGAAAAATAAAATGGACGAGATTTAGTCAGCATATTATTTTTATTAATTCTTAGAATTAGTTACTTAGTGTTGGAGTTTGATGCCAGAGTCGGTGCATTTTAGTTCATAGTAAAGACTAGCGGTTATGTATATCTACGTAGTACAGCGACAATAAGCCATTACCAATTTTATCGCAATACTACTACGGGTTGTCGGGGCAAAGTGCAGGAGTAGAAACGGGTTAGTTTTTAGTCGGTAGAAGTCTGATACTACCTCTCGCCACACCCAGGAGGGAGAAGTCAAAGGATGATTTTCCCCCTTAGAAAAGATCTATATTAATTTGTTTAATAAATATATTTTGCTTTCCGTACTAATCTGTCGACTTAAATTGGAAACTTATCGAAGGGCTGAGACTGTAACAGTGGCCATGGTTACTATAAATCTTTTATATAGGAAACGTTCGTAATTATGGTAGAAATAAACCTGTTGACGCCAGCCAGTGGCGCCGCGTGCCTTGGCGGGGCTCCGTATGAAATGTTTGTGTGTGAGGTTTTTGTGAAGGGTAAAGATTTCTGACATAATATTTTTTTCTTGCAAAATGTATCTACTAATTTAAGTCGCGCTTATGTATAGTTCTGTCACTATAAATTCTTTGTAAAATGAATGCCAATGTAAAATGCCATCTTAAAAACTGCTTAAATATCGTGATATTTAACTACAACTTAAAATTGAGTAGTCTTTCAGTATTCGGCCGTATGATTAATTAGTTGTTTTAAGTTTTTGACAATTTTTGATCGCTTATTATACGCGGGAAAAAAGTCAGTTAACTACTTTCCCTGGTACTGAAATAAAATAAAAATTGGGAAGTTTCTATTAATTTTTGCTTAGGTACACACGTTAGGTACACACGTATAAATGATACGGAAGATATGCAACAAGCTACCCGAACGTGTCTCAATTAATTTCGAACTTTATTTCAAAGGACAGAAGGTTAAGATTTTAATAAAGTATATTGTTGTGCTAGTGTGGTTATAATTTACAAGAAAATAATGTTATAAAATCACGCAAACTCTGCCAGTACTTACGACACTACACTGTGGGACATAAATAATTGGTCACACGAATATTGCTCAATCTTGCTTCTGTTAAAGTACCTAATGAACTGGAAATGAAATCTTAGTTTAGGTAAGGCAATTTAAAAATGTATCTTTGTTAATTCCTTATTAGAAAGATTATTTTAAAATCTCTACCGAATCTATGATATTTAATAATCCCAGATAATCGTCAGATATTTATTATGATATTAGCATCTTGTTGTTACTTTTTATCCCATTATTGTCATATACACGAAAAAATCGGAGAAGAACCACGAGTTACTGGGGCTCGGGGCTTCTGATCGAAGTAGGCGTAAGACCGAGGTGGTTTTCAGTCAGTAAGAGTCTAGCACTCAATCTCTACACACCCAGAGCAGGATGTTTAAATCAATGATATTCTCCCCTCAAAAAAAAGCATTCACATCACATGTATGTACCTGCCGTTCCGCACCGCACACCGATTTAACCGAAACCCGCAGGGTGTAAAAAGGCAATAACGGTCAATATCTATAGTAGCTAAGTTTGTTCACATTGTTTTGGTATAATTTCGAAGATTACACGCATTAACGTACCATTAATTAATAAGTAATTAGGCGCCAAGTTTACAAGGTATATATAAATTCGACTTTATACCTTCCGCAAATGGGTTTTATATTGGTACCAATTTATTTTGCAATCCATTGTAATATCGTGAGTTTGAACGAATTATGTTAAGTGTATATTTACATTATAATGTTTGAAGCAAATTTTACATCAGTGGATAGGCTTAAAAGTAACATAACATAACATCACGCCTTTTATCCCCGAAGGGCAGAGGTGCACATTATGCCACTGTACAATGTAACACCCACTTTTCACTATTTATGTTATGAGTCCCATGTAATAGGGGGTGAGCCTATTGTAAAGAGCTTAAAAGTATTTTTGTATAAAATGGCCAGGCTATTATCATTACTTAGATATCTAGGTTCGTTGAAGAGCTACAACTCCTGTTCCAAATTACATTGAATAGGTACTAAACATTGCATTTATAATTTACTAGCTTCTGCCCGAGATCCCGTGGGATAAGTAGCCTATGTGTTATTCTAGACTCTAGAATCTAGAGTATAATCTACTACTGCTCCAAATATCAGCCGTTTTGACATGATTCGGTAACAAACTTCATTTACCTTACGAAGTTAGTTAAAAAAAAAATAATTGTTACAATACACTGGTCAGGTTTACGGTAATAGTGAACATGAACTACTTTCTCAAAGGTTTCAGTCACGCACGTTGGCACGTAAAATAGGCATGGACCTATCTACCTACACTCCGATACATTCAATACATTTTCGACTTTATCGCCTTTGATATTATGAAGCAGTGCCTTGGTGCATCGGTTTGCGAAAAACTCAAAAACTACTGAACGGATTTTAATGCAATTTCGGATGGGTAGAGGTAGAGGTGTGATTCTTGTTGAATATATTTTAAGTAAGTACTTAAGTTAATTGTTTCATGACGATTTGAAGGGGTAAGAGAAGACCCACTGTGGTCACAAAGCTAGTAAATAGGAACTTAAGTTGAATTCGAAGTGAGTTGCTTAAGTTTTCACATTGTCAGACTTGTTTAACCAGGAATCGAACCCGCGACATGATTTGCTGCTACTTACTGTACCATCAATCGACCTGTTAGCCTGTAACCAGCGTGTAACCAAGGATTCTAAGATTTTATCTAGAAGTAACTCAGTAGTGTATTCATTTCATTGTAAGAATTTTGATACAAATATCGAGGCACTTAGGAAACACTTCCCACAGCGGCAAAGTTCGACGGCATTGAGCGAGCTCCTAAAATAGACGCGGAAAGTTTTGATAAATCAAAATAGTAGATAGTTTATGATATAGGCATAGACGCGTTTCATGGTAGCCTTGGAGAAATGGAGAACCACTTCTCTCACCATTTTAATGGATGGAAATAAATATAAAAAAAGTAAATAACATAACTAATACTAGTAATGTAAACGATTTTATTAATTATTAGGTACATTAGTTTAACATTGAAATGTTTTAGGCAATATGTGATTCATTTCATAAGTACAAGACATTTTACTTTATGTTAATTCAAGCCCAATAGTGGGATAGACCATTTATTACAATTTACATAGGTTTTGTGTGTAGCTTAATTATTTATGTATGGGCACGATCGAGGGAAGATACAAAGTATTACATTAGTTGAGACCGTGTCACGTATAAAATTACTAAAAAACTACAAAAATAAGACTGTTGTTCATCTACCTAATACAAACATAATATCTACTGAAGACTATATATATTATGCGAAATTACAGGAACTATAATAATTATAATTTAATGAGGATTCTATAAAAATCCCTCGAGTTATAAAATATGTATGTACCTACAGCGCGTTACATAAACTTATCTTCGGTGGTACAGATGTAAGGGATCGAGGGAATATTGCTTTATTATTAAAAATAAACGGAAGCAAACTTTAAAAATATAAACTAGAATAAAAGCTCGATAAATTACGAAACTAGTAGCAGTTTTACAATCAAATTGCAATATATTTGGAAGATTTATAAAACGCACTTAACAGGTACCTATGAGTTTGGAATATTTGTGTAATTACGCGCAGGTAAACAATATAAACAAAATCAATACTTAGACAAATTAATAATGCAGAGAGCTGACCGGGTGTGCATACATTAAAAGTTTAAGATCTGCCGCGTGTC